ATTTATTTGCAACTCATGTAAATTTGAATGTCACGTGTAAATTTGAAAGTATATATTGTATAAGGTTCTATAAGAGGTACTCGCTTAATGAAGCACTGGCCTAGGTCACAAGTAGGGACTCTGGATCTCATGCACATTTGAATGCCACCTGAAAATGTGAAGGTCACAAATTTGTCCGATACTAAAGAAGCACATTTTGCTAGGATGAATAACATTCATTGGATAATTTCATGAATAAGAAAATATATATTTGTCTAGCTATTGTTTAATTTCCCCCAGACATAAAACAAAAAGTCAATGGACAATGTTCTAATTGTATAAATTAACATAATAATCATAATGAAGTAATGAACTAAGAGTAATAAAGATGATGATGATGTTTAAAGATGTTGAGGCGGTCAGATCAAAGGTTCGACCATCTGATTTTTTCTACAGGTAAATGAAGTAAATAAGAAGGCTATCCCAAGGATGTTTTTGTCTGAACGTTAAACAAAGTTTTCCTTTCTTTCGACTGCAACCAAATGTTGTTACCACCAAGTTATCCTTTTGAGTGAGAATAATGTAACGCTTGGTTACAATTCGTTTTTGGCAAAATAAAAGAAATTTTAATGTTTTTGATTTATTTAAAATCTGAATATTATGTTGTCATACTAACAATATAGAATTTGTTTTACCGGTCATTATTTCGGTTTCAAATCATTCTTTTATTAAATTTTGTCTTGATTGATAGAATCCATTATAATCAGAAAATTTGACTATAATTTGAGGGGATGCAAAATATGAAAAATTACTTAATACAAAAAGTTGAAGAGGTTGACTTCTTCGTGTGGAATAGTCAAAATTGGGTATAAATAGTAACTTACTTGTAGCTAGACAGCAAATCCACTCGTCGCCATTAAAACATAATATTGATTCTTCGTGGTGTAAAAAAACAAAGTATTGTACAGATTATCTCTTTGTTATATCTAAATCGTTGTAGAGGATGTTCTCAATAATAATATTTACGGTTAGACTCGTGAACAATATTCATTCGATAATATTGTTTCGTTTAGGTTTAGGTATATATAATTTATAGAATATTGGTGTAAACAGAGGCTTTGAATAAGCCGTAGTGAATCCCATATATCTTTAAATAATTATGTTTTCAATTTGAGCCTAGAATAGAGCAACAATAAATACTTGTCCATTTTCATTTAGCAATTCTCAATAGCCTATAATACAAACATTTCGCTTAAGTTTTCTAAAGATGTAAATTTTGAAACAGTTAGATTTCATTGATGATTATATTATTATATTCCATCATTCATCTCAAATCTAGTTATGCCTATATTAAGAGGTAGAATATCAACGCTATAGAAGTTAAAAAAACGAAAATGGTCATTATGATGACATTATGATGACTATGTGGAAGCATGCCCAATTAAACAACCCAATTACCAACGACCCGACCGCAAATTGAAACCAGAAATCCATCATAACATTTCATTGGTAGCAGCTAATAAACATTTCACATGAGAAAGGATATCAATCATAAGTGAATATTTTATAATAAAATGTGATATCAGGTGTCTAGAAGATTATATAGCATCTCCTGCATGACAATTGTTGCTCAATATTTCAAACAAAATAGGGAGGTAAAACATTATGTAAACGTTACATAAAAGTGTCTTATGTTCAAAAATTTGTTGTCAATATCAGTTTACTGAATCCTTCAAATAACTTTAATTATGCTTATCGCTGTATTAACTTATAATATTCTACAATAAAAACGTAAAGACACCGACATCAGAATACTATGTTTGTACATAATTTCTGGTCAATTTAAGACGTGCTAATGAACCAACCAATTCCAATTCCAAATACAGCATATTTGATTACATCTCGTCTCAAATTAGCACTTATTTTCGTTTACATTTATACCGACCAAGAAATAAGTGAATTCCTCTTTTTTAATGTAATCTGAAAATCACATGGATTATCGAGTTTTAACGACCAGAGTGTGGAAAATTAATATCTCAATAATCCAACTAACGCTTTCTAGCTCTTGCTCTATTGGGATGGATTTCAACTTTTAACGCCGGAGAAAGATCAAAGTTCTCATAAGATAATTCAAAATATGCCTTAAGTTTTAAAATTTTACCGTTTTTTTCTCCGTTTTACAGAACAATTAAGGACCAAAATATATCATTACAATAACAATTTAACTGCGAAAATCAAACTTACAATATAAAGTCTATGTTAAATTTGGAAAAACGACAGCCTAGAAATATTGAAAATTTTAATGAGAAAACTCCCGAGCCAATTGTTTGAAGTTTTATTTCATATCTATGTGTTTGGAAGCATTTTATAACCAGTAAGAATAATCAGTTTCATTTAATTCTCAATAAATGAAAGAAACAAGTTTTAATTCTGATGCTAATGGAGTGTCAACACTATATCTTCAGCAGAACTATAGTTGTAGCCTGTTATAAGCTGGATTTTACGATAATAATTGACATTGTCCCTTTTTAAGCTGTTTTGTTTGTCACTTGATGCCCTCTCTATCTTCAGTATTTGGTACTGCGAGCATAACCTGGTTAGGAAGGAATGTTAGGTTGTAACATTGCTGTTAAGTAATGTTACGAAAGCAAAGGCACGGGCATGCAGGCGGATGAGAAGTGACAAAGGACATGTATATCCTACTGACTTTAAAGGATTCGAACAGCTACATAATCGCGAATCATAAGACAACTCATCTCGCTATGTCGACTGAACTGAACATACCATATTTTATTATTGGGTATCAGATGACTGAAATAGACATAATGCATTCAAAGCCACATCCAAAATACATAAACTGACAAAAGCATTAAAAAAAACCCTATAAAATATAAAAACACAAATCTATATTTGCGATTTCTTTTAATAACCTAAATCAAATTTTTAAGTTTAACGAAAACTTCAACAAAAATTTCAATATAATATATAATATTCCACCCATTCCATCGGTCGGTCACATTGTTCCATGATATAATTATGGTGAAGGAAATGTAATTAGATGTTCAAGTCGCTCTCAACTCAGAAAGTTGATGGCTGATGTTAGTTGAAGGTAACATGACCTTACAATGTATCACTGAATAAAACATCCAATTCTCAATATCTTATCCAATTAAAATGATCATTGAGTAAGTAAAAAAAAAGAGAAAAACATATTTCTTATTCCTATCGAAATAATGAATACTATAAGAATTCTGTTTTGGTTTTTCAAATAATAATGGAAATGCAAATCATTTTTAACTTCTTGCTTTAGTTACAAAGCTCAAATTGAAAGAAACATTTATACGAAAGATGTCTTCGATTCTTTGACAACTTGCATCTGCAACTTCTGTAGGAATTTCATAAATTCTTTGTCAAAATTATTGAAAATCTATACATGAAAACATTAGAATTCTTTTAGAAAAAGCTAAGATGCCGAATAAAAGATGTATATTTAACTCATTACCCAGTCAATTGAGTTGAAATTATCTCCAGGATCCCAATTAGCATCATTAAAATATAATTAAAATTCATTAAGCTACAGATTGTGTATAATTGAATTAACTAAAAACTTCCAGAGTCGGGATTATATCACCCCCTCGCCGTGTCTCCCCCACCCTGAAGGCGTGTCACCAGCATCACACAATAACATTTCACATGTAAACATGAAATCCACTCCAAATCTGTGGTAATCTTATGTGAAATTCTTGAAACCTCCGTTAGAAATAATCTTAAAGAAATTATTCTTAATTTATTATAGTGACATAAAATATATCTGTAGACAAAAAAGGAGGGAGGCGAATTGACTTTTATAAAATAAATTCAGAAACCTAGTTTTGGTCAGATGTTGTATCCCAACTACTTTAACTTGTCCAATTCAAATCTGATATTCATATTCATTGTTTCGTGATAAATGCAAGTATTTCATAAACGAAACCTCTCAGAGAATGTAAGCTATGTTTTAAACTTTTTTTTAAAAAAACTTCAATAAATCAATAGTCAGACATTCTTTTAAGAAACCATTTTAGAAAATGGAGTTAATTACGGCAAATAACTAAGAAATTAGGTCTCCATAACAAATTATGTTTATTATTTTCATGTATAATGTTTGTAGTGTTATGAAATTGAGTTTTTTCTTTAATATTAAAGTTCAACTTAATCAGGTCCCAGACGGTAACCGAGCCGATCTGCTGAAAAATGCATCTTATCAAATACTTAAAATAAATTTTGTCTGACGAGCTGCAAAATTGTTCTTGATATTTCCGATAGAAATCAATAATCTGGAGATCATGGGGGTCTTAATCGCAAAAATATTGATTTTAATTTCTTGAATATTTTATGAAATTTAATGTATTTATTCAGGGGATTTCTGTTCTCATCAGAACAAGAGGCTTGCGGGTCTTTTACTCTGCCCCTTTATTCCTCGTGAACCCTCCAAATTAATAACAATAGCAGGCGATAAAACAAAGGTTTAACAAATTAACATGATAGTTCAATAATAAAACTCACACTTCAAACCATTTTACTTTTAAACCTTTCTAATCTTTCCTTAGTGAACAATTCCTTCATCGCTATCCGGGCTGTCAATAACTCTTATTAACACTTCTATCACGGCTTTTCATTGGACGATCAGAAGGTCAAAAAGGTTAAATAACCATGTGCATGTATTAAACAATGACACGCCTCTTTCTAGATGGAATCATATAAAATATACTCACGTAGTAATTTTAGTTAACTGTATTATAGTATTAAATCTTCAAGTGAACACTTCAAACAGATATCTATAATTATTTTCAAGGAATACTAGAATCATTTCAGAGTTGAAAATTGCAGGAACTTTCTCTGGAGAATTTACAGAACGGTTGAAGATTTGGTTTTTCTGCAACCAGGTGGTTGGACAATATTTGACTATTTGATATAAGTGGATTTAGCCAAGAATTGGAATTTTAGATATTTACAGTTTCTAAGGATTTATAATAGAGAATATGCAGGCCCAGTTTCACCAAGCTGCAGTGCCCTATCAGATGTGGCCATATGTTCAAATGTTGCAAGGAAATCCTCAAGAATTCGCCATGCATCCAGCTTTTATGAATACAACCCTGCCGAATTATTCCCCTTATTTTGATTCGCCTCAAATGAAGCCGAAAAAGGGATCCTCTTTCACGATTGATGCTATTTTGAATTCAAGAACTTCTCCTTCAACCAGCGACGAGGAATTTTCGCCATCACCAAAACAGTTTTATAAACAACGCCATTCTGAGAGTTTTACACCTGGACGGCGACATCAAAGACTTCTGGAATCAGCTCATCCTTATTTTGACAGCGGTCTTCGATCATCAACCCCTACGTCATCACCAGAATCAGTTAAATTACCACTGAATTTTACAGGTAATTATCAATAAAAATTGTTGTCACCCTTTTATTTGCTTACATTAACATAAGAAAAGCTATATATATATACATATCCTATGTGAAATATTTTATTTTCTAGTGTATGTTTTCAATTTATTGAACATATTAGCAGTTTAGCATCCAAATTAAACAAATATACATTTCATGACATCAATGTCCAGCCAGAATGTTCCTGCAATTTTAAATGGTCATTTGTGACATTTCAGCACCAATATTCTTTTAATTGAATACACGACAATCGCTATGACAAAATAAATTATTGTACTAAATGTTTTAAATTCCCGAGGGCGTTAACTAGTTCATAATTAACGATTTGTAAATATCGAATAATGAGGAAAGGGTTAATTTAAAATAGAAAACTGTAAATGAAGGTAAATATTACTACAAATATCAAATAGACTTCAATTAAAACATCTTCGATAAAAAATGGTTTCAAGTTTAATTCTGTATTTTTATAACTTGTCCATTTTTGCATGTTTTCAAATAATAGATCCTTCTCTAGTAATAAGAAACAAAATTGTTCTATAAAAAAACCACTTTTAATCTTTGCCAGTTATAAGATGACAAATGTGGTCTTTTTGTTTAAATGTCCAATATAAGCAAAGATGAAATAAAAATCTAAAGCTATAGTATGAATGAAAATGATTGCTTTGGATTGTGAAGATGATATCGAATAATTAAACTTTTGTTTGTAAAAATCTTTAAATTAAAATGGCCTCATAGCATATTTACATGGAGTCAATTTTACTACATTACTGGTATTGAACGCTCAATTCAAATTGGATACAGTAAAATTTACTGCCAGGACTGTCAATAAGTAAACGCAATAATTCTTTCATTTGTACGGAGCGTTAATAATAAGACAAATAAGTCAATTTGCGAAAATTAAAATTATTGAAAAGTAAATGAACATTTCTTTGAAAATATAAAATAATTAATATTTCCATTTTGTTAAAATTTGTTATTTTATAATTTTCTGAACATGGCTTTTCATTTGTTTTACAATTATTAGTTGATATTTGTTGATATTTGTTGATAGTTGTTAAGGTATATTGTATTTCAGTGTTCGTAGTTAAATTTTGTATACTTTTATGTAATTTCTTGTATTTCCAAAATATGAAAAAGTTATTCAACTTAATGATAGAAAATTTAAAAAGTGTAGAATGATAAATGGGATTGTGATTATTTTTTGATATTTTTTGTATCATAATCATCACTAGGTACTCTTTTAGTCTATTTAAGTAGTAATGTTAACAATTAAAGAATTCAGAAATCGACAAAAAACACTTCAACCTCTTCAAGGAATATTTGTAAAAAGATTTCAGAAATTCTTCATATAAAGAATTAAATCTTAAATATACATTTAGTAGAATTCACAATCATGTTTTTATCGTCAATTTGGTTTTCACAAATTCCATTACATTTAATATGACATTATATGTTTTGTTGAGAACAAATTTGGTTATTTTTTTTTATATAATCACTCTAATCTTTAATCACTTGAATGAAGAAAAAATGAAAATTGCAAAGTTTCATTTCATTCCAAGTAATCTTAAGATAAGATAGGTCTTAGTATTTAATTGATTTCATCGGTACACTTTTCACAATTTTCTAATGAAAATGATGAAATACATGTTTTTAAGAATTTAATTGAATTGATTGAAAATGTGTGAATAAGAACCAGAGATAAAATCAATTAGCATTTATAAACTAGGATGTTGATGAACAGAAAACAGTTCAAACGTTTTATTTTAATTTCACCTTAAAACAGTACACTCTATCACATGCTGAACGTGAAAACAGAAATTTAAAAAACTTGGCTGAAATCAACAGCGGAATTGTCGACCACCATGATAACCAAAACATTTCAATGGACTTGTCGAGTGATAAACTCAGTCGAACCAATGGTTTTTAAATTCAACATGAAATGGCCAGTATATAAATAGTAGTTGTAATAAGTTTAAACAAAATAGAAAACAATTTAAACATGGTTTGATAAAATGATGATATATTGAAAGCAAATATCCAGTGTTGTAATGAAATATAAGTGAAGTCGTATTTAGTTTATAATAATATTTAGTTGGGTTTGGGTGGTATTTAGAGTCGTTTGTTAATACAGTTCATTTCTGTAATATATCCCAAAAATCTCATTTACATTTGATTAAATATATACACAACTTTCAAAGCTACATATGAGATCTCCTTAATTCAAATCATTCTGTTAATCACGGAACACAATTTTGGTATACTACTCCTGAGTTTTATTGTACACAACGTTTCAACAATTTACATTGTCATCATAAGGTGAAAATATATTCTGATTCAGAGCAATTTTTGATATGGAATAATTTTTGATAACTTTAGTTCAAAATCGAACTACTTCCATTCCTGTAAGATTTCATAAAAGTTGTCTCATAAATAGAAATCGTCAAACTACAATTTTAAAGAGTTGGATAATTTTGTTTAGAAAGGAATAGAATATTGCAAAGTTAATTTATTCAGAAATGTGTTAGTATAAAGTAAAATTCATATAAAACATGCAAGAGCCTACAGCATTTTTTACTGGACAAAACAGTAGGTTGGTTTCTTTTCTAACGTCAAAACTGGTGATAAACATCTAAAGTTAAAGAGGCGTTAACGAGGATTAACATATTGACAGAAGGAACAATTAAATACATCAGTTAAACAATCGTCTTAACACTTTGAAATTACACTTTAATAGACCCTTACCAACAATTTCACACAATATTTATTCTTATCACTATTGCCTTAATAACCTGCAACACGTCTTTAATAAAGGTGTAATTGAGGCACTGTAAGGGTTAAATACAGGTATTATTTTCTTACCCCAGGGATTAATTAAGATTAAATGATAATCTTGTTAAATAAATCTGTTTATGTAAAAGTGTCAGAAGTTGATTTGCTTGTAATTCTGGTTTGAAATATTTCTATGCAACACTAATTTCACTTACAAATATTTTCTGATAGTAAGGTAAAATCGAAATAAATATTTTAAATTTTAAAAATATAAAATTTGGTTCCATCATTATTATTATCTTATCAAATTATTATGTGCCACTTTCTTGATATTATATCATTATCAATCGCGAGCATTTTTATCAATTGATTTTTTGTGTGATTGTGAACTTTTTAGCAATAAAACATTCTTTAATACTTTAATACGGAATAATTTTATCGATGTCATTTTTATATACTTTTCAGAGAAATCCGAGAGACGATCAAGTGGTAAAGGAAAACGAGTCCGGACCATTTTTACTCCAGAGCAGCTTGAGAAATTAGAAGCCGAGTTTGAAAGACAACAGTATATGGTTGGAACTGAGAGGTAGGTGTTGGGAAATATTTATGTGCTAATTAAAACATATTTAATTATATTGTTTGCTTCAATTGGATAATATAGAAACACAACCTTTACTATATTTAAACCGTGAAGTCCCCTTAAATGTTTCGGCAAAAAGTCTTTTTTTTCCCCAATAGTCTTTCCATTGGGTACGTCTAATGTACTGAAATTTCAAAATCAATTCGGAATTTTTCGAACATAATTAAGGTGTCTCCAACTGAAAAACTAGAAAAAATATCCAATATTACATTAATTATGTATATTTGATTATTTTCTTTGTAGATATTATCTAGCCGCCTCCCTTGGACTGACAGAAGCCCAAGTTAAAGTTTGGTTCCAGAACAGAAGAATTAAATGGAGGAAACAGAATCTGGAACAGCAACAAGCTAAACTGGCCTCCATGAATTTATACAATGACGTAGATACAGACACAGAAAGTGATGACGATGATAATACGTCATCAGTTAATGTGAACAGTTCTATATGAACAATGAGAAATTGTCTTGGTACAGATAAACCTTTATGAAATGGAGGTTATTCAATTGTGATGTCTTTTAATGAGGCTGTACCACAATTCCACTTGGCAATTTTACAAACCAATAAGATCTTAGAAATAGAGCAAGATAGATAGTGGCACGAGAACAGTGGTGAATAAGATAAGTCCAGTAAGGGAAAAGGCTGTAAAATAAATAATATATGACCGAAGATTTTCTATTTGTGCAAAATAGTGTATTTATATGTTGAAATTGTGAAAAATGTTTTCGAGCTTAGCCTTTAATTAACTTGTGCAACGAAATGCATTGTTTCCCTTAGAGAGACTCATATCTAATATAACTGGGTTTCAACAGACTAGTTAAATTTAACATCCTGGTGTGCATTGGATGCCAAACGAAAACAGGATCAGTCATGGGTTAGTTGTTATGATACTGCTAACAAGTAAAGGATATGCTTACATGAAAACAATACTAGTAAATGGATACGACTCTCCCCTCCCCCCACCCCACCCCAAATGTGAGCAATGCAATTATAGGGGTTGAAGAAATATTGCACAGTATTATAATTCTGACACCTGTTTATTTGATATATTGTTGTTATAATTAGTTGTACAATAGTAAAATATGCTGTGTATGTTATTCTTTATATTTAATATTATTATTATTCAATAAAACTGTAAATTATTCCCCCTGTCCACTTTTTTTTTTATCTTTGATGACTTTCCTGGATGCAATATGGAACAATAAGTTGCCCTATTAAAATGATAAAAAAAAAATGAGAACCGAACAAGCATGCAAAACTCTAAGTGGTGCAAAATCGAACACAGTAATCTAGCCACTGCTTTAAAACTGTATCAATTCCTTCTGCTGAATAGTAACTTGCTGCGTTTCAACCACGTTTCGTCTTATAAAAATAAATTGTCAGGTTTGCCTCCCTTCAAATTGATGTTTAATTTTAGAATTATTTGATAGTATTAACTACCTTGAAGTTGCATTATTTATTTAATTTCAACACCATTTCTGCTTTGATAGTTTGATAGTCATTCTCAACAATTCGTTCCGTTCCAACAGTGTGCTCGCTCCCGTGAACTTCGTTTCTAGATTACAGCGTGTTTGCTATATTCTTATTTAAAAGGTTGATTGAGGGCCACACCCTGTGGTTGCCTCCCTTCAACCTTTTCTTTTTGAACACTTTTCTCTTTCAATGCCATGCCTTTTATCGGATGCAATTTTGTTAATTAATTTCTCCTCCGTTATTTCGTTCGAAGGCCTATTTCTTTGTCGTGTTCGTTAAGCTTCTTGAGTGCTCTTGTGGATACCTTCATGTCCTGAAATGACTATTGGGCATATATTGTCATGCCTATTTAATTGATTTTGGTTCATGAAAATACCAACAATGACATCATGATTTGAGCGCTTTAATCGGTATATACAAATTGGTTATGAGGTTGCAAATATATCATACAAACATAATAATATAGCACACTTAACAGGTCTGGCAAGATATTAGGATAAAGGACAAATATTGCAATTAAAATCTTCAAAATAAACCACCCATTATAAAAAAACAAAATAGACGAGAATTTTATCATTACTAGAAAATAGGCTAATGAAACTTTGCGACTTTATTATAAGAAAACTTAAAAAAACATCTTTTCATGTCGTTTTTTGAACGAATCAGCACTGTTAAGTGAACATAAATTTAACCGTCAATAGAGAGTTAAAAGTTCATGGTATTGATAGAACCATGACCAAGGCAACATCATGCTTCAGCACACCTTAGCACATTGGCCTTTTCGACATCGATCATAATGTCTATACACCGAATAGCAAGAAAACTGAAAATGAAAGCACATTATGCACCAGCGACCGTTCACATTGAAACATTTCTAACAAAGCAAGTTTTATGCACCAAACAATTAGCGATATCACAGACTTTAAACTGGTGGTGTAGATCCATTAAACTCTTCATACGTGGTTTCCTTTTGAAAGCACTTTGATTCTACTTCAGTACCGAATGTTTGTACGTCGAGCGAATCGCTGTTTTTATTGCGTTTTATGTGTAATGTTTCACTGAAGCTAACTGTTGGGCAAGTAGGGAAGAAATTGTAAGGGGAGAAAACTACAGTGTATTGGTTGGCCGAGGTCGACACTGAGGGAGTATCTTCAGAATGTGGTATATGATAACTTCCGGTTGTTAACCACAACACCAGATCCTCGTCCACTAAATCGTCATTATTTTCTAAAAATCTATGGAAATCTAAAACAGGATCGAAAGGATCGTTTTGAGCATAGATTGACGAGCTGACGTCCTCCATATCCTGGTATTTAGTGACAGCCATTTGGTATCTGGCCCATCCGGCTGCTCGTCCGAAATTACTATTATGAAGCATGAATTTACTCATAGCATCATTCTGTATCCGGTATGCGCGATGAGATCCAAATTTATTCCTACTTTTGTGATTATAAATGAGATGATATTTCGGATGACCAAAACTATACTCCAACACACCGTCCATCTCCTTCTCTTTTAAATGAGATTTAAATTTTACCTGAGTTTTATTCGTGTCGACATACCAAGGGACACGGACAGTTTCCGTCGACAAATCTAATGTCGAATACCGATTATCTCGACCTCCTATGTCTAAGTCGGCTTTGATATGGAATAAATGTTGATGTAAGTTAGCTAAAACATTGTCTTCTATTAGATGCCCATAAGGTTTTTCATGCGCGATGTTGTATGTCGATTGCACATAGCCGGTAGTAGATATTTTTATTTTTATTACTCCATTCAGATGGAAAATATAGTCAATAATATAATCACAATTTGTCCTGGTCAGAATCGTTCGAACAACCAGATGATGGTCAACTAATCCCCCGTACCCAGAAAATTTACCTTTCACCGTCGAATAATGGCGACGTAAAGGCATTCCCGAATTCATTTCAAAAATACAAATCGAATTTCGATTCTTGGCTGCCCAGAGTCGACGTAATGGTATGCGTCGTGGAATGAAGCGGTACCGGGACAATCGACCCCGGGAACCAGCTCGTATGACGTGGCACCAGCAATGCCAGAAATGTCAAAATAGTTTGAAAATCCAGACACAACGCCATATCCTGAAAACAACGAACTGGCTTCCTGTAAACTCAGTTCGTACGCTAAACGTTCTCCTTGAAAACGGACGTCGTATATTTGTAAACCAGTCGTAGTTCTCATGCGAAAATTAAAATTCCATCCGACGTATTTCACATGTTGTCCGTCAACACTATACCTTCGTCCGTCCGGTTCATAAAATCTCGGTCCGCGACCCGGCGTGTCATAATCACGTGGTCCGCGACGTTCATATGACGAATACTGCAGATCATAAGGGTCAACCTTATGTGAAATTTTCCTTACACGACCTAGATAATATTGTTCAATTAATTTTTCTACGCTGTAATACATTTGGCCATTGTACACAAGACGAGTTACGTCCCATGTTGTTATATCATTTCCCTCGTGACCAATTTGAATTTCAAATCCTAACGGATGATTGTAGAATCCTTCAACGTTCCTGTAAGACGCAAACCATGTTTTCCGCTCGCCACTTTTAATTCCTCGAGGCGCTGAGTCACAAAACATCATACACATTTCAGATGGTGTACAGTTGTGATGATGAAGGTCAAAACTTTCACGAAAGATAGGGTACAGTTGTTTGGTCGCTTTAGTTAATATTTCATACAAGATTTTATATTCTACAGCATCTACAGGGCGACTCTCCCATGGAATTGGTAAGCGTCGATATGCTGGGTTGGCTATTAGAATGTTATAATTAGGGTGCGGTAGGGGACCTACGAGATATTCCTCCACACGTGGTGGATCTGTATCACCTCTGTACACCACAGCTTTGGCAGTTCTATCAGGTTGGCGATGTCCCCCATCTAGATATTGTAACACAGCAGATTTTAAAGTCATATGAAGATCTATCAGGAATATATAGCTACTATTAACACTAGCGTCCTCCTGGCGAACAAGAGATGGCGATTCTAAGTTGAGCAAATAGTCACGGACACTATTCATTTCCTCTGGGGTGAGGTCGTCGAACACACCCGGCTTTTCGAAGTTCCGGGGTTTGATATTTTGTCCTTTTGAGCAGCTTGGTAAAAACGTTTGTTCCACTATCACTACAATTAACACTATTAGGAAAATGACGGCCAATATAATGGCGGAAATGGCTAAAGCACGTGTTATTCGCCATTTTCTCTTTGAGATCCTCACATCTCTGTTGCCTCCCATCCTGATATTCTTGTCCTGAAAGATACAGATAAAAGATAACATTAAATTGTAAGTAATGACAAATAACAATGGAAGGGGGTTGGGGTTGGCACCAGACTACTTCATAAAAATATTATTGACAGATCTATTCCATTCAAGATACTTTTTCATTGCCCCTTTTCTGGTGAGTGTTTAATAGAAGTATGTCTTTTATAACATTCAATGCAAAAGAAAGCACATTGTACAAATTGAACATATCCTCACACCAGACAAGTTGGTACTCTCTGATAATTTATTAAAGCTAATCAGCACTTTGAAATGAATATTCCCTTGCTTTCTATTATGTTCTCATTTCACCTTAACAATATCTTACCTCTACGTCATTTCATATCATAATGTCACTTATCACAAATGTCCTCCCTTCAACAGTTTCCTGCCTGTAAAGAAAATTTTAAATGTTTGATGCATAAATTCTGTAATGTTACATTTGGACATTGGAAATACGTCAGTTTGTCCTATGTGTATGATATCGCCATCGATTTGACAAATCGCACGTTAGAAATGGAGAATTATTTAGCTAAGCTAATCAATAATAGTGTTCACATCTCACCATCGAAATTTAAGCTTTTAAATCCAAGTGTTTTCAAGATTATTCGCGTTTGAAAGTCAAAATGACGACTCAACTTTTCTTGATGTCATGAAAAATAAAGAAAAGACATATTAAGACACGTTTGGAATATATTTGAAATGATTATGCAATTTTCGTGCAGTTCTGGGAATTATGAAGACTATTTTCATAAATATTCAGGACCCAAATACACCCCCTGAAAACAGCGATGCATGGCCTTTAAAATATTCAATTAAATCATTCTGTACATGCAGTAAAGACGTAACACGTGGTTCGTTACTCTCTGTACATTCTCGCAATGTTAGAATCCCCTTTATCATGATAATATAACTGTACATATAATGTTAGAAAACATATTTACAATCTATTCAGTTATCCAAAATCGACCACTTTCACCTATTGTACGATTTACAGTGGTGGACCCCGCTCCCTCGCAGCTCCGAAAGCAGGTTTTTCGGGAAAAAATCGCATAACTAGGTTAGAAATTCGGACAATCGAAGATATTTCGCCCCCCCCCCCCCCCCGCCTCGGACGTAAACTTGGCTCCGCCACTCACGATTAAGGTCCATTTACCCTATAAGGTCTGCTAATCATTACAGGTTGATGTATGAGGTCATTTCTATATTGTGATAACCATTACTCTATATTGTATGTAATTGACCAGGGTATTGTCGGCTAGAAATAGGTTACAGGTTTTCTATGTTCCGGTTTAAACACGAGATAGTTACCACGAATTACACTGACTTGGTATCATTTACATAAGGTTATAATCATTATGTTCGAATACGAGAAAACAACATTTGTAGAAGTAAAGCTCGCCAAACATTGTAGGTCGAACAAGGAATTTTATCAGAGCAGTTTTGGCACGAGATGCTAGACCCTCTAACAAATAATACTGTTACATAAACTTTACTCGACCTATGTCGACCTAACAGTGCTTGTCCCATGACTGGTTTTAAAATATGACAGGAAATTTGACCTTTTATGCGGAAGGGCAAACGAGGACATACATAATCTATTGAGAAAATATACAAAGTCAGTCTATCTATATTATGTAGGACATATTGGCGTGGATTAGTCAGCACCCAATAGAAATTTTATTATGAACTTTATATGGAAGACCAAATGAGACATTAAATATATTCCCTTCCATACAGATATATCCCTTTGAATTATAGGGCATACAATAGTCATGCTACCTTGATATTATCATTCTTTGCCCATCCATTACGAATATTAAGATATTAATGAACGGATAGATATTATGTTGTCATTGTAATGTGGGATATTCAAACTATACATAGGCGGTATGTTGACCATGCCCTATTTAGCAAACAAACCCAAACAGAGTTGATACCTTTTGCAATTTTGAAATAATATCCAACCACTTGCTTGAGAAAATTGTCATAACAATCAATGAATCAAGATTATTGCTAATTCGTTCGAAATCATGAAGTCCATTTCCTATGAAAACTCGATATAGGACGGTACGGGACATCCGAAGTTAAATCATTGTTTCTATGAAGAGATCTTTTTTTTGAAGTTTTCCTTATAAAAAAAACGTCCTACCTGCAAATACTATCCGATTGCATGCAAAATACCACATGGTATAGCTGTATATAACGATACTAAGTCTTTGTTCCTTTGTTTAAGTCAAAAGCTCTCAACACATGGTACTAACAGTATTTTTTATATCGTACTATAAAAATCAATATCACTCTAGTTTATCAAATAATATCGCCTATTATGAATTCTACTGAGCCAATAATGGTCGTGCTGTTCCACAGTCGCATTGACTTCTATCTTCTAACTAAGCAGTGAAGAGGTATTTTAGTTTTCATTTACTTTACAGCTTACCCTAATTTGATAAGTTTTGGATTTATATAAGAGCCCGACATTCCTATACAGTCAGTTCTAATCGTTTACAGCTACAACATCACAATATTTTAGCAGTCGCTCGAAATAAAATGACACAGAAAAATTCACAAATTTACATATTTGTTTATCGATAAATTCATAAAACTTTTATGCAGTTATTGAACGGGTCGATATTGCATTACACTGACTCAATCTGTTTTTACAACCACTAAAACCAGACTTTGTAAGAGGAAGTATAGCAATAAGGTAAGTATCTGGAGATCTCATATAACAGACGGACAATAAGTATTTTTATAAACTTTTAAATCATGTCGTTCAAGAGACATGTTAGGAAGTCCCTATAGCAGGAACTGCCTCTTATGGACAATTTACTAATTCAAAATAAGTGTCAGATCATGCCTTAATAGTTCCAGGAATAGTTCCATTTGAAGTGATGAAAACACCATTAAAGTCACTGTCTACAATTCAACCATAAAATGTTATTCATTACCATCATTATAATAATAGACAATATGCTGTGAGACCAGAAACCTCTATTGTGAATAATAAAGCATGTAACTACCAGTAGAAAATCAATACAATAACAGAATAATAGCAGCAATTTATAACATTTAATTGGATAACTGCCTTGTCCTATTATACACTGGAAAAGGACCTGGGTTGACACTGCTGGGTTGATTGAGGGTATTGGTAGTGCCCACGGGAAGGGTATCAGGAGATAGTAGACACTGGGATCCATTTCAGTATTGATTCCTGATAGTCTAAGAATGTTTGTAGTTTGCTAGAAGGTTTACAGGTTTCTCATTATAAACCATATCTTATTTCCACTTACTAAAACTATAATGTGATGTTTCTTAATTCTAAATATGTCAAATGAAATAATATATAGATGAGTTAATGACCAAGCGTTAATCATTCATTAAATTAATGTGAATGATTGTCATTATTATCATAATCAACATATTTCCTTCTAATTATCATAAAAATGTTTAAATAAAGATAGATACTAACAGTAGCTTTGATTGAAATAAGCAGTTCTATTTTAGTAGCCTACATTTGTCATTAGATATCGTATGGTCCGTATTAAAGTCGCAGTATACAAGTATTGCTTAAGAGCCAACAATCCATAGATTTCGTAATGTTTTCTTTACCTTCCATACGGATTGAAGTTGTATGGGAAAGCATCAGGTCTTAAGCAGACAGCCCCCTTACATCGAAATATTATACTACTCTATATTGTCGTATATTAAACCCAGACAACACTCTGGATAAACAATTACACGGAATGTAAAGGGATAAACGGAGACGACAGTTTATTAAAAGTGACAATATCATTTGCTGATCAGCAAGGTGTTTTCGAGAACGCAATCTACATTACAAGAGTCACCATTAGTTACTAGCAAACAATTGTAGAACTATTTAATGGGTGTTGAGATGAAATGCAATATCCAAACAGAAGTTCCACCCTGATTATATTCCTGGTTTAATATGATAACAGGCAGCTTGCTTGGTGTATATCAAATGCTATACTTAATATCTTCTTAAAGTTTATCTTAGAAATACTTGAAATACGTCTGAAATTAGATACGGAAGATGTTTTCATATTTCAATTTGTTTATGTTATACACTGTCTATTTAGAAGTAGAAGAATATAGGTAATTTTATGTCTAGCTGTTATAGAAATAATAGAAAAAGAAGTAAATTTGGGGGGATTCATATACATGTAGCTTCGTTTGTCTTGACACGTTAGTTGCGACATGGATAGAAAATTCATAACTCATCTTTGATCTAATACGATAATGATTATTTTATAGAACATCACAGCAACATGGGCCCTTCCATAAATCAAATAACAATTCCTTGATACATATATACATGTATACCAATATGACGTAATAATTCAATCGCAGTAAAGTGTCAGGTGATGATAAGGATGGGCATACTCTGACTCACTGGCTACACTCACCACAGTATATATAGTATTCATTGTATTGGAGGTCAAAGGAAAGAAATGGAATCGAACACACCCAACAGAAATGAAACAACTACAATTAACTTCTCAATTCCACCATACTATTAAAATTCAAAACAATTCGAGTACACTTTGACAGTTTTATATTAGTGTAAAATTAGTCGATCCACATTGAAAATACCGATTTAGAAATATTATATCGCAATATGTTTTCTTCATAATCAAAGAGCCGGTCATTATTTCATTCGTCTGCTAGGCTGTTTGACACTGTTCTTAAAACCCCCACGCAAGAGACGAACCAGTTCTGAATCCACTGCCAATATTTTGGAAATTCTGCCATATAATCAAACAACACACCAAAGAAAACAAAAGAGTAACCCTATCCTGAATGTTATAACAATGAACCTTTCTTCATGGGATGTCTACTATGTCAGATAAAATCAGATCATAATCTACAGAAAGACTCGTACATCAGTTACATCCTGTATATGGGCTTTAGTTGACAGTAAACCCCTACAAAGATGTTCCATAAGATATCACATCCCTCATAACTGAAAAAGAAGGCATAACCTCAAAGTACTTGATAATAGTTGTACGAAATGAAGAGATCTACTTACTGATTAGTCATTCCTTACATCTATCGTGGTACTGTCTGAAGTTCTACCAGTCTTTTACGCCGTAGTTCCATATTTTTCACAAATACTGTACTCCAGCTCCTAATTTCAGGGCAGTACCATAAAGTTATAGTTGAAATATTTCAAATTTGGAATGTATAACGGTTATTTAGGACACGTTATTACACTGGCATCAACATCCACGCCCTTATCAATACAGACAGTCGGTTATCGCGATTCCTGCTGTTACTATAAATAGCTATATTTAGTTTATGGTGCCACTATTACAGCCTATATTGATATCTTCATAGTAAACATACACTCTTATAGTGGAGTACTGTACACAGCACGAGCTACTGACCCGTATTATATACTCGAAAAAATATGTTGGCCCTTTCTTTGAAATGAGGCAGGTCTTTAAATACTTCGGCGCTTATTTGTCAATTGTAAAGCAATTAGAGCACTTATTAAAACAATTCCAAGCTCATTTGGGATGTTCACATTCTTTGTTTTTACCAAATGATGGAGCGACTGTATTAATATGTAGAATTACTATTTTCTGTATTTTATCCGATTCTGATGGGGCCTTTAAGTGTGGCATGGTTCAGAAAATAACACCAAACACTGATACTCCATCAAAAGAGGATTTTGATATGCACTAGTTGTCTACTTTCGATTTGTTTAACGTAGCTCCTCATCCGTATTCCTACAGTATACCTCGTTTGTGAATAGATGATGTTCCAGATACAAATATGTCAACTCAGATGGTAAAATCTGCATATTAATAACCATCCGAAAATGATTACGTGTATTAAAAATTATAATTCAGGTTCTAGCAATCCATTTTAATTATGTACATGATGTAAGATTTTCACTTTGTATAGTGGTTATCTAGTTTCAATTGAGATATAAGCTGAAGAGTAGCTTACTGTATGAAATTGGTCAAGCTTCCTGTGGAATATCCGGAGATTTGTAGAAAGATACTGAAGTGGAGTGAGGTCAACAGATCAGCTCAGAGACTTGTACCACAAAACTCAGTTTTGCAATTTGACTACATCAGAAAGTAGATAGTACTTTGCATGTGGGTACAACCTTTCAAAAGTGATGAATTTCATTTTTTGAGTGCTACATTTGTCGAGAGAAGTCTGTTGGCATCCTTTGATTGTAGGTTGCATGTAAATAATAACATAATGACACAGTTCGGATTTATATTCTTTAATAGTGTGTACCACAGACCTTTATATATATAATTCATAAAAAATAATTCACAAAATGATAGCACTTTAAACATTACAAAAAATTAGCACTCTTAGTTGAACACAAACACAGTATTAAAACGATGACATCATATCGAAATGAAAAATTTTCACATTTGTTTTAGAACGAGATAGAAAGATATTCTTAAATTTTGCACATGCATTTCAAAAGGTTAACATATTAAAAGAAATGAAATGAATGGAGTTTTACGTCCTACTCTTAGCTACCTTAAAGAGACTTTCTAAAAAAAAATGTGTACTGGGGACACTGATAGCATCAATTTGCACCATTCCAATTTTCATTCAGATGTCTGTGGTTCCGGCAATTCCAAAGAAGATAAGTATCTGATGACGTCACTAATCACAAAATATGCTTTATAAGGACCTTTGCGATTAGTGACGTCATCTTCATGTAATGATTTTATGGAATATTAGGTTCCATAGAAATGAGCGGGGGGTACTGCGAACTAAGAGAACAGTTCTATTAACGACACGTAATAAGATAATTATTATTAGTTACAAAGGAGAATGATACTAAATGGGAGGGGAAATCTCAGATACTTTTAAGGGACGAATTTCTCAGTTATTTCAGTAATAAAAATAATAGTAATAATCAAATATTGCATTAAGGTGCGTAGTACCAAGTTATAAGGGGAAGTAATAATCAGTTAAACTAAAGTGGACGTCATGTTCAGTTACATAGGGGGAGTGTTTCCTAAGTACAGGGACCAAAGGACCAAATTTGCAGCCAGGGAACACTATTCTCAATTAAATGGGGTACAATACTAAGTTACATTACACACCAAATCTTGATATACAAAGTTAAGTAGCTTCACTAGGCTGTATTGTTCCGTTAATGTTGTCAAATATACGTTTCATGGTGAGATAATTCACTTTGGTGGCTGTTGGCACTGCGCAATATCAAATTTCAATTTGGTCTGAGCCCATTCAGGATTTTGCATAAAGGAAGCCAATATCATATCCACAGTACACCCCGTATAGCCAAGATCCACTATATTCTTCAATAAACATTGACCCATCTCATAACCTTTCCTGAAACGAAAATAATTCAGAGAATATGATAAGACGACAAAATCTTTTTTTTACCGAAGAAAAAAAAAATTATTTCGAATTTTTGATTTTGCTCCGCACGTACTTAAACAAGCGTTTGTCCAAAATAAAATCTTATGAGTTGCTTACACTGTTACTTGTCTTTCACGTTGATTTTTGGAAGGCTCACGAAGTCTACAAGGCGCTAAAATTTCGTATCTTTTTATCAATTCATGTCAAAATCCAATCACCATTCGTGTTATATATAGTAATGCAATTTTACGCCATAAGTTTCCGCTCCTCATTGGGCAGGAGATGGGTTGATTGAGACTCGCACAACCTATACCAAGGTACTTACGCGCATTGTTGAGCAATTTGTTGTGGATCTGTTATCATTGTATTTGGTGCATCGTAACATTGTGGCAATAGCTTTCCATATAACGGAAGTGACGAACAAGCATCTTTGGGAACAAACGTCATACCGTCACAGTTATCAGTATTCAAACCACCGATTATTGAGGTTATTTCCGGCTGATTCTGACGTAATGTGGTGAAGACTTGAATCTCAGAACAGAAGATGTTTCTACTTATGAGTTTCTCGGATAAGCATCGCACTAATTCTGGAAAATATCTGGAAAAGAATGATAGTTGACGTATTGACACATCGTGAATATAAAGAAACCAGAGAAAGAGCAATAGCTTCTGTCTTCGGTGAAGTCAAAATTTCCAAATACGAACTTTAACAGGTGGAAATGGGTATTATGCGTCAACGATTTTGCTTCTAATATAATGTCTTAATGAGACATTTACACAATATAAGAATATCGACAACTTACGGACAAGCAGACACCTGTGACGTCTGTAATTCCATTGTGATATTATCAATGACGTCGTCACAATCTTTATCCACCATGTCATATATCGAGGAGTTCAAACATCGAGTATGGACATCACTGGAGAGAGTGGACATTACTGAAATGAAATTGTTACCTTGCTCATGATATGCGCAGTATGAATCTGTTTTTTTTTTTATCTGATTTGAAACTGTCAAGCTAAAAGTAGGGGTCATTCCAAAGAACCAACCCAGGGCAAGATGATGCCCATTTCCAGTAGGTATAAAATAATTCATTGCTTGTAAGGTACCGTCTATATTATTTAAACCGACAATGTCAAGATGCTGTAAATCGCTATACTTTTATCTATCCTATAATACTCAAATTGGAAATTCCATGACTGTTTTGTTCAGGTGATACAGTGTACATCAGTCTTTAGATGTATGAATGGAACATTCTTCAATTTGTTGTACGGTATTCTACAACACCGGATGACAAAGGGTTGTAACGTTTTCAGACCAATCATATACAAAATTTAAAGGGATTGTAAAGAGGTTATTCTAAATCGTGTATGTATGTCGAGGACACTGATAGTATCAACTTGCAACATTCCAAATTTGAATCAGATGTCCGTGGTTCCTGCAATACCAATAAAACCTAAGTAATAAAGTATATTGACGTCGTCAAACACTCAGTACTGGAAATAAAACGAATCACATGTTACAATTGAACCATGTCAAAATTGTCATAGTAACTGATTTCGGTAAAGATCAAATCCTACAGGAATCCTTACCTGTTCCTTGGGTTGTCTGTTGTGTAGGGTTTTGTATACAGAAACTAACGTCAAATCTTAATTTTTGGGTCATATAATGTTGGTTCTCTGCCATTAGAGTCATAAAATCATCAGCCTGACAGAGGTAACCCACTTCTCGAGTTTTCACCGCTAAACACCCCAATAATTCTCTCCCTTGACTAGAAACATAAGAATAATTTGATCAGGCAAATCATTATGGCGTCTGTAGTGAGACATAAATGTGTAAAATATATATTCAAATATACAATGACCAAAAATCAAGTCATAAACCGTCTTAGACACTATTGCCTGAGAAGTACTACGAGCAGTAAGTTAGCAATAATGCAGGTAATATACGACTATAATATTTGAAATGAACCTAGACCATTACTGCTTCAATGGTGAAGTAACAAAAGTTTGTCTCATTATATTGAAAGTGAAAGTAGAAGAGAGATTTTGACCTTTATCTTTATCAGTTCAGCAATTATAATATGTTAAACATTTGTAAACATATTCCAGGTGATTGCAAGAATCTACTGATAACATTAACCATTGTAGCAAATAGCGAGACAAATTTTTCATGCCAAAGAATTGGTAAAACCACCAATGTTTTCGTGTGGTACATATGAATCAAATCAGGCGATAGAAAATTACAAAAGTAGCCAAAATTTAGATTAAGTGTAAAAACTTTGTTCCTTACCTACATAGCTTGGCGATTTCTGTCGGATCTGTTATTATTTCATTTGGTATATTAAAACATTGTGGCAATAACTGAGAAAACAGCGGCAGTGACGCGCAATCAGCATTTGGTGTAAACGTCATACCATCACAGTTATCAGTATTAAGCCCACCGATTATTGACATTATTTCCGGTTTATTTTGTCGCAAAGCAGAAAAAACTTGACCTTCCGTACAATATATATCTTTAGAGATGAGGTTTTCTGCCAAACATTGAACTAACTCGGGGAAAAACCTGAAATTGAAATTTATCATTTTAGTTTCAGTAATGGCATTGGTAGGTTGTCAGAATTTTTTTGCAGGGGGTCAATGCCCCCCTGTAACTACGGGCCTGAAAAGGAGTAAAACATTTCAATTAGACGATAGCTTTCCAGTTCCTTTCAATGCCAAGAGAGGCACTGGTCAAGGGACCACGGGATTTTGATTTCCGAAATGGGTTGTCAAAGTTACTGTTATAAAAATATCACTTATTTCAACAAGATGCTAAATTCATTAAACATAAATAACGAAAGAAGTTTTTATTTTCGGTAAAGGGGTTATATTTTAATTAGACTGACGTTCGATGTAATACTTACTGGCATGCTGACTTTTGTGACGTCCTAACTTCCGCGGTGATGTTATCAATGACGTCATCACAATCCTTATCCACCATTTCATATATTGTGTCATTTTCACAGCGGGTATTCAAATCAGGCAGTTTTATCCCATTAACTAAAAATAGTAATTCTATTTTGAGAGGATTCTTTACAATACAACGTATAGGCTTTTACTATGTAAATTGTTAAAAATTTTGAAAGTGGGGGGCCAAAGCCGGGACAGCCTCTTTCCTGTATCCAACAAAAGGTCGACTAAGGACTAGCTGAAGAAAGGATCCCTGTGAATTTTGGTTGTGGTTATATTTTTCTTTAATGTCGATGTATTTTTGTAATGGACACTTACCTGGTTTAGAACAACGTATCTGTGGTATATCGTATCGACATCTTGAAGGATTAATTTCAGAAGCATTCCAAGACTCATACTTCCAATCACTGTTGATACAGCCATAGAGACTCAAGTTTTGTCTGTAATATCATAATTATATAAGTAACAATTTATAGAGGCATGTCTTGAAGTTGGATTTTGATTTTATAACCAGCAACATGTCTCTATTCTCGATAGGGTTCAGGCTTGGTTGATTAGAAACACTCACACGAAGTTTCGTCAAAATCCGGAAAGAATTGTGCCTATGAGTGTTTACGTGTCAAAAATGGAATGCTGTGCAAGAACAACGGCAATAACTCATACTATATATATTTTAATTTTCTGATATTTAATAGAATTCATCCTTGGGTGATTACAAATACTCAGACCCATTTCGTCAAAATCTTTCGATAAAGCCCTTTATATTACTTACGAATTGCATTCGAAATCAACTTCCCAGACAGACGTTTGTTGGTCTTTAGTATCTACATCTAAAACTTCACTTTCCGCAAAACCGAGATGTCTGCAAATATTCTCTACATCAGCGGACGATAAATATCCCGTGTCACAGAAATATGACGTCACACCAGATCTAGATATCAAAATCTTTCCATAGCCTTCAAACTCATTTTGATTCTCCAGTGATATCACAAAATCTGAAATAGGTCAATCAAATCACAGCCTATAGCAAAACGAGTAATAATCAAAAGCCACAAGGGCGAAATACCGAGTCCTACGGACTTTCCGTCTGTCATATATTCATGCTTCTGTTGAGAGAACCATTTACACAGCGTTCGTAGTAATTACTGGTGTGAGGTTGATGGTCTATAAATTAAATCTGTCGTAATTTACGCATAAATTCAATTATCAAATTGTATTCAACTTATTTCTATTCTTCAAATAGATACAAATACAGTATACTTACCATCAGTTTCTGTTATACACTTGACTGCTGCATCATTACATGTTTTAGTAGGAGAGTTCAGATAATTACAATCCAACAAGCTTGTCTCTGATCCATAACACTTAAAAGAATGGAACTGTGCCACTCGACTATTAGATATGAGAGTTTTCGCATATCCCTTAATATAACCCTTTGATCTGCAGAAAACATCAGCTTCAACGTCCGTCCATTGGTCAGCACACATACTACCGTAAACACCATACTTCAGTAACCTCAGCCGACCAGAGTCTCTGTCCATAACCAAGTCTTTTATACTCCCAGAATCATAATCATCATCACAGCGAACCACAACAGGCCGACCTTCACATTGGACATCAGTATTTATTTGACACCGAGAGAGATATAATTCTCCACCGCTACAGTTGTACCCTATACTTCCAGTGGCATGATACCCAGGGTATTGCATGAAGCTTATTTTCTGTGCTGCAGACTTTTTGGTGGACTTGCAGAATACGTTAAGTCCCTCTCTGTTAATCTGGTTTTCACACAGCACAATTGGTTGTTCAGTTTTATCTACCACAGTAATCATACCAGTTGTGTTTAAGAAACCAGTGCTGATCCATGCTGAAAAGAACAAGAATTAAGTATAAAACCTGTTCACCAATGCAACGAAACTGTGTTTTGCGTCCTAATCTTATACAAAATAAGTCGGCACATCAGATCGTTGGTTTTATTCATGCTTACACGTGAAAAATGAAAGCCATTTTCTATCTCTTTTCCAAGCTGAATAGTATCCTTTGGGCAAAATAATCAATAATCACGTATCTACATTTGTGGCCTCGTAACTATCATCCAGCGGATATATCAGTTAATATTTAATAGAAACGCCGAAAAAGAACGACATTATTACCATCACTGTAACAGTAAACTTGAACAGTATTGTGACCATCACAGGAAATTTCAGACGGACTGGTAGAATCGACTCTGATCCAATTCACCCCATCTTCGAAACACATCAGCACCATTGAATCGCCGTCTCTACACCGTAAATCACCTCTCCACGATATCGATGTCTGCAATATTATACATTGTTTATATAAGGAACTAAAATTAAATTGTTTTAGCCTCATACAGGTAGTCTACATATTTTTTTGAAATCCGATTTTTTTTTTAAAGAGATGTATCTAAATGAAGTTTATAAAACAATGATTACTCCTTTTTGACACAGATATCGAAAACAAAATTCACTTCAAAGTATTAATAAACACATTACTGGGAACAGGACTAAAGCCATGAACAAACGAGATACGGTGTCCAGTGCGGTATTATCAATACAGTAGACAATAGTAGAAACGAATCGTGTCCAGACACATATCTTGTTCTTTTTTTCTTCTGTATCGAATATCGCACCGTACACCGCACTGGACATCGTATCTCGTCTGTTCAAGATCAATGCTCAACTAACAGCTTACCCTAGGACTAGGTAAATCTCCCTCGAAATATTCACCATAGTCGAATCCTTGCTGTTTACATATGACTCGTGGTAGTTGGACATTTCTGGGGGCACAAAGAGCTCCTTCTTCGCCTTTTACACTGAAGTACAGCCGACCATAATCAGGGAGGGAACCTGGAGTGTGTGGAACTCCGTCTCTTAGTATGAAGTAGGGATCTGCATTAAAGAAAACACTCGACACATTGGTCTAACCCACAAAAAATAAAATAAGCCGACAACAATGGATGAAACAACTGAAATAATCAGATGTACTCAAATTAAAGTCTTTTTGTTGCTTTGATTCATAATACTTCTATAGCTAAATATAACAATCTAGTTTTATTTTCTACTTCAGCTTTTGTATGAAGACAGGCAGAATTTAAACCATTGTAAGTTCCATTCCAATGACTGATCTTTTCTTGCCAAAAAAGGGTAAAAAAAAAGAACAGGTTTGCGTAATCTCGATTTCATTGTTAAAACGTTACAGTGTTAAAAGTTATAATTATCATTTTCAAAAAGCAACCACTTACTGTCTGACTGATTAAAACAATAAGCACCAGCATCATCAGCATATCTACATACATTATACTCGTCATTTGTAGGATACTTGTGGGCACAATTCCAGAATCCAGTTTCATTTCCAAAACAGGATACGTTATACAACCATTTAGTGTCAATAGCATTGTAACTGAGATACGATAACTCTCGACTTACACCAGAATCATAACCTTGCGATCTACAGAAACTCCTGGCTGCTTTATCATTCCATCCCTCGGAACAGATAGTGCCCCACAAATCATATTTATACACCCAGATCCTGCCAGTTGTATCAATTTTCATATCACCATCACCTAAAAAACATGAAATATTGTATGTTAAAAACATCAAATATCGTGCATCTTTCCATTGCTTTCATTGCATTGGAATTTTCTAATAAAACCGGAAGTTGTCGCATCACATATTTTCATCTATATTTAAATGGACAGATGTGTCATTTTGGGGGGTTGATTTTAGTCTTGAATATTATAATGTAAATAGTCTTCAGAACTACTAGACATGAACTTTAACTAGGAAAACTATTTCTATATATATATATTTCATTTCTATATATCATAGAGTATCTTAATTAACTTTAAATGGCGAGTTGTTATTTTAACATTCAAACGCAGATAATTCTGGATTTTCTTAGCTAAAGAATTCCCGTTTCTGAGACTAAAGTATGATTGGTCAACAAATATGGCGCACCTGTTCCTTTAAAAACTATACCATTCCTAACAGTAGGCTTTTTTTGCAATATTTCAGAATATATGTAACTGGTTTTAGACAAAGTTTTAATCGTTGAAATGTTGTTCAAGTGTTTTCTGTCCGGACTAATAAAACAGCATTGGGTATTACTAGAATCGGTTTCCATTCCAAATAATACTTACTGTGATTGGCTTGGTTGATAAAACAGTGTAATATTGCTGGTCCTTGCGTACACATTTGGTCATATCCAATATCACAATCTTCAATAGTGTTAGCTGTTGGTGGACACGAGTTAATTTTCACACCAAAAGATGAAAATGTGGATACAAATGGATTGACATCTAATAATTCCCCACCGTCATTAAAGCCAAGGTATTGACACTGTGCAGTGACTAGATCTTGGTTGATATTGTCTTTACAAACAGGAGAAAGTCGTGTCTGACCATTTCTCTCTCCGTACATCATCAACATACCGGTATTATTTCTATCAGCTGTGTTTAGTCGAGCTGAAAAATTCACCCATTTTAACAGTAAATTAAAGACAAATGAGAAATCAACACTTTCTATTCAATTCTGAGCAGCGATAGGTGACTGCAATTTCGACGAGATAAATATATAGGAATATATAAACACTATTTAACCAGTACCCTCCAAAAGTCATTTTGTAGAAATGTCATTACTAACATATCTTGTCGGTAAACGTGCCAACACGTTGCCTGTTCCTTGTATGTATAGTATCCCTTTTCCCTTATAATTAATGACAATAACTAAACAGTAGTTTTCTTACATGAATATCTAAAATCATCAAGAAGCCGGACTGGTGATTTTTTTTAATAACGAATTTCCGCCAACAAGACCATGGATACAAGTTTATAATCCATTACTTACTTTTATTGTGACAATATACAGCCATACTCTTGTAACAATAATTGGACTCGTTCTCGGGCAGTGGATTAACATCCCATGGCTTCCGGGCACAACCAGCAAAATCAATACTAGAATCCGGACAGGTAATGGTATTTTTCCATAATTTATCTAAAGATTTCGTCAATATCTGACCGTCGTCTAAATCATCTCCTCCAGCAAAGCCAAGTTTTCTACATACAGAATTGGTCTCGTAAGTAGTATAATACCCGCTACAAAGATAGCCTTTTACTCCGTTCCTCACCACAGTTACGCGTCCTTCATTAGCCGACTGACCGTCAATTAAACCATATTGAATATCTGTTGTAAAAATAGATGAAAAACATTTTAAATACTCTTTCTCTTTCAGAATTTCAGAAGTGTGTAACTTGTTCAGATAGTTCAATAACAGTGCAATGTTAGCGATGTGTATTCTGCACACAATAGAAATGAATAAGATATAAAACATTAGAAAATAGAAGGTTGATTCTTAGAAGCTTTTCTCACACTCAAACCTTACCGTCATTGTAACAGAATGCTTTGGCCACTTTGTTTTGAAAGAAACAATCCCGGTTGAAATGTTTAGGACAATCTTCCAATCTGCTCTCGTTTCCGGTACAGTTGTAAGTAAAGCCCGAATTCTCCTCAAACTCCGTATCAGATTTACCAACACCGTAAGAATAGCCCAGTTGTTTACATAGAACTTCAGCATCAGTATCATTCCAGTCTAATCCGCAGATGAATGATGTAGTTTTGTTTTGGAAGATGTATACCTGGTTACGACTATCTATTGAATATTGATCCTCTGAAACAACAACACGTAAAAACAGCGTAATTATAAACCGTTAACAAAAGCGTTATCATTAACTGAAAGCAACAATGAATTATAAAGCTTAAGCAACGAGGAAACTACATAACTAAAAACCGGCGTAAATAAGTTACGGAAAGCAGCAAGGTAATCATAAACTGAAAACAATGGTGTTACTGGAACAAGGGAATATTACAGTCTGAAATAGTGTGGTTATCCAGATGATGACTGCTGTTCTGAATAATATGCAATTGTAACCGCTTTACGTGTGAATAATAGTTAATTGATTTTTTTTTTTAAATATCAGTTTTATTTATTTAAAGTACATTTACAGATTTTTATACACATAAATACGCTTAAGCAATTACCCATGCACACACTCACACACTCATGGTGAGAATTAAAACTTTTGATTTTACATATTGGTATTGTGGTCCTGCTACACTTACCAGAACAATTCTGATTATTCCTGGATATAAGATACCAAAGTTTTTCATCTATTTTATCCTCACATCCGCTACGATGGCTGTAGAGGTCACTTAATACACACTCTTTAATACTGGCCTCTTGTCTAAATAAATAGTATATTAATAGCGATGAGGGCTACAAATTTTTTTCTGCTCATGATTGTGATCATTTGCATCATCAATTTTCAGTCACAGGCACACAAATTGTGTGACCGATATGGAAACTGTGATATGATAATAATATGGTAAGGCAACCACATTTTCAAGAGTCTATATAGGACTATAGGTCCTATAGGTAAATTACATATTTAAAGTTTGACTCACCCACAAATGTTATTTTTGGGATCACATTTGTTCATAGCTAGACTATACAGCATCATTTCATCACATGAATCCTCAGGAAGATTTTCATACATTTCTATAGAAAAGTAAAAATGGATATACTTGACTACTTTCTTTTAACTCACTAGACATTCGCTGTGAGTAGGCTTTGTCCTATTTTGAACATCTTGTCCAAACAGTTCTACTGACTATAAAATGCCGGATTCCATGAAAGGCAAACATTAAAAATCAGTCTTTATACTTAAACATCCAATGAGCTGATATCCTCAATAAAACATGAACGTTTTCGTTCGCCAAGAAATGTGAAAGGATTCAAATTACCAACATCAATTAATAGCACAATCTTTTAAAAATTGTCATCCCAACTTCTATGTTACGCTCTGTGATGTTCACTTGCACCTTAAAGTGCATTGGCTACCATAGGTTCGGGAGATAGATTAGTTAACAACGCCCCTTTCTTGATGACGCTGATTCTCATGTTTCAGCTTATAAAAGTAGAATAGGTTCTCACTAAAGAGATTGATGATGTCTGGTACCCTAAACACATGCTGTGAACATAAATTTATTGATATAAAAAAGCACCAACCTTTAGTACATGGTTCAGGATCAAAGTTTGGAAGTATTTTACCAAGTTCAATACCATTGACTAAGCTACCTAATACATCTTTAGTTTTACAATAACGGTATTTACCATCATTGTAGACATTGGTTTGTACGCAGTGTATCGTTTTTTCCCAGTGACTGAAACAAAGAATATTCTACAATACAGAATAGAAAATAAACCAAGCTGGGGGCTTTAATAATTTCAAGCACACAACTGTATATTACTATTCAATATTTGGACACTACTTTTGCAAGGATATTTCAAGTCACCTGCACATTGACAGTTATGTAATCTTGCAAATCGGCAAACATTGCATGTCTCCTTTCATATTTGAAAACATTAAAAAATGACGCAACTTGTTCCGAATCAGTCGTCTTGATAATACATTGTACATTATCATATGATGAACAAGGGTTAACTCGTTAACATTGTATATTGTACAACGAAATATTTGATTTTAATGATTACTTACAGGCATGATTTTTCTGGTTCTTGGTTGATCATGGTGTAATGCTGATTACAATCTGTAAAGTGCCAACTATTAACAGATACACCTTCACAGCCACTCTGCAGATTACCACTTGATTGATCTATAATAGATGAACGAAAGGAATGATTCAAAATTGCTTCATTATTCTAGATGCTACTATTTCAAATTCTCCATTTATGTATACTACAAGCATTATGCTTGAATGAACGAATAATAAATACAGATTATCCTGAACAATACTATCATATCAAAGAGGTATCTTGTAAATAAAATGGATATGAATCTACAAATATCATGCAGATATGTTGCAATTCATTTGCTCAACCCGAATATCTGTCATAATATATCTCCGATTTTCAGTCAAATTTTTCTGCATGTTTTGTAAAACCCTATGTTCCGAGCCACAGTATACACCACGCTAAAACGGAAAATTGCTTACTACTACAGACAGAAACTGAACCAATGTAGGTCATAAACGGCTGCCGTTGCAAATGTCCTTCAATTAAATAGCTTGGACACGTCATCTGGAACTCAGTGGACAGTGCGGACTTGATACAGCTACCTAGGTCTTGAATGACACTGAAATTGATACAATCATTATTGCAACACTATTTAAAGGTAAGTATGTCAGGAAGATGCACTCAAATCCTTTTCCCGAGAGATGTGTTTAAGGCACCAGGTGGGATACGTTTACTCATGTTGACACAATATACCACTTTTTATTATAAGATCCTTCATTTGATTGATATACTACTAATATGAATAGTTCAATAGCTGCTGTATTTCCTAATGTATTGCCAAACTTTTATTTTGGATGTTGGGATTCGTTTTTGCTGTTCGAATGGTTAATACTTGCTCGAATATCAACAGAAGAGGAAAATGATTATCAATGATGTTACTTTGGTTTCAGCAGACCAATTCTCATAGACGAGTAATCGAAACTATAAGCTTAAATCATCGGTGGTGTTTATTGCCTCACCTGCAAGGCATTCGATCACTGTTTCCAGGAATGAACTGTGAACATATATATTGTATCATATAATGATACATAAACGGTGTATTACACAGGCTGGTGCTTGTTAAACGAGGAATTTCCATTGGACCTGAAAAACATCACATTCGTACTTGAAACTCATTGTGAAGAAATTACACCCCGATATACAGTGATTTTCAACAAAATCAACAAGCCAACAAACGCAATGGAGTTGCCATGAAATAAGTCTTCGTGGTCATTCTGGATCATTCAAAATCTAAAAGAATGAACATAGCACGGAATAGCTGTTCAGACAGGTTTGCTAGCTAAGCTATTTTCAAGCTATTGCAATTCGTCCATTCTACCTGACATATTTGGTTATTTGACAGATTGAAAACCTCAATTCAGATATTTTTGATGCTGTAATTTTTAAATTAAAAACCTTTGTTCAATCGTCAATAAGAACTCTGAGTGTGATTACCTGAACAAGATTGTGAAAATGTATCATACACTGTTGATAACATTGTATTATTGTTAATATACATTTCTTTAAGATCATCAGCAGTACAATTATAACCACTGAGCTGGCTGGCATAGACTAAACACTTCATAGAGTCTTCGAGTACACTGAAACATGTAATTGTAAATCATGAAGCATATTGAAGAGAGGAAATATTATACAAGACTACAAAAAGATCCACGAAACTAATATTTGTATCACTAATTTGTCAATAATTTGAGAACTCAGATCCAAACCAAGAGGTTCATGGAAGGGAAATACTATGGGAAATGATTTTACAGGGATTTTACTGTATCTTTGATGATGATGAACATTCTGTTAATTCTTTGTCTCATAAGTTTGTACCTGATTTTTCATCCAGATAGGATATATATTTCTACCTCGTGCAGTTACAAAATGTCTTCTGCGACATATCGACACATATCAAGGATTAATCTTTCCGACATGGTACAGTGAAACAACAGACCAGAAGTACACGATACTGGAACTGGAAAGATCTGTGCAAGTCAACTTACCGACACTGCTGTTCCGTGCCTTGTGTTTGGTTCAAACTCATTAACGCGTGTTGACACATGTCAAATCCTGATACCACCATCTCCGAACATTCAGTCATATTAACAGGATAATACGATACCTCGTCTGTAGCTTTAATCAAATAAAACAAAATGAGATAGTTTATAAGGTCCAGATACATCCTCTTTTGCATGTACATGTCGTTGGTAATCTTCACAATGTCAAGATATTACGAAGTTCGATAGTTGGTGAAACTATATAGGAAGTTTCTTTCTCACTTGATCTTCATTTATTTGGTCATATACCTACATACTATATTTTATGGAACTTAAAAAAACTATAGCATTTTCAATATGTGAAACCACAGTGATTAACATCACCAAGTATAATATTCGGAGAGCATTGAAATTCAATCTTGAGCTTCATATTTTTTCTAAATCGGTCGGATATTAGAGCCTTTACGCGTGAGGATTTGAATAGATATTTGGACATGGTTGTCAACAATATACGTCAACATAGATAGATGTGGGTGTATAATCTATAATTTGTGATTAAATAGAAATATGAGGTTAATATTAATATAAAGAGTGCATACCTAATATACATGAAGACTCATTCATAGTTGATTGCTTGGTTTGATTAAAATACGGCTGTAATCTACGAGTTTGTGATATCAGTCCTTCTTTAATCTTGATATTATCACAATACATTCCGGACTCTAACAATAGCCGTGAAACACAGCGCGTCATCTTATCCAATAAACTGAAATAAACACATAAAAATAACACCCAGGATAAAGCTTTCAAATGAAATGATACGGAGTTTTATATCAGACATTTTTGTTTCACCTTTATGAGCAAAGAAAGAAAGTGGCTGCATGCATAAACAGAATTCTTTCAGAGCACCACATTTAACTTCACTAGACCATTGAAATGATATGGAGTTTTATGTCTGACATTTCTTTCTGCACCTCAATCGCGAGTGAGGCTGTCTAAAAAATATAAAACGGCAGCACGTAAATTCATTTCTGAAAACTTCAATTAAAGGTATTGTTAACATGTAACCTTCGCTGGCTTTAAGTTTGTGAATTTTATTTCACACCCATCAGTCCAATTAACTAGAGAGAAGAACATGGCATATAGCATTAATATTATCGTGTCGCCTGGCTTGCTACGACCACTTCCCCAGTCTCCAGAAGGTGTAGGTTAATCAACTTGTTTCAGTATTTATCTACCTGCACATAGATTCGCTCTGTAAGTTGAAGTATGTCATAGAACATCGGTAGCTTGTAGCCAGTATCACCATGATATCAGATTGGTCACAAATAGAACCCTCTATTTCATCAACTGTAACAAGATAAAAAATTAAAATGAGAAAAAGTGACTCAACGGGATTGTTTATTTAGCTTCATGTCTAGGATTCCACAAAACCTCAGTCCTATTAATATGAGACTAAACCTTCGTTTCGTGTGTTTTATAAGCTTTTATAGCCAATTCAGTTAGACCTTTTAAGAATAAAAGCTCATAATAAAATAATAAATAAATAATTACAAAACGGAGCGAAAGTTTGTTCAATTAGACTGAGAAGGATTTGACGATTTTTGTTAACAGTCAGGGGGTAAAAACACATTTCTACAGTATCATAGCGTAGATATTTAAATCCAAATTCCTGATTAGAAAAAAAAAGAAAACCTCGGTTAATGTGAACTCCTGCTCCAAATTGACTAAACATTATGGACACGTAATAATCCATTTGAAATACTTTACATACTTATACAGGATGGTGAGGACCGGTTATATCAGCTGTACGGTCTATCAGCTGTACAATACTCTTTGTTTGACAATCATAACCAACAATTCTTCCCTTTTCTTTTACACATTTAACAGCTACTGAATCCATTCTGAAACAAGAATGTCCTATTTACAAAAACTGTCTATGCATGTTAACACTATTAACGTAATTATGATCAAAATGGTAATCCGTGAAAGGGGCAGAGTCGTCATCCGTTTGACCAAACGTACATTAGTCTCAGAAACGGGAATATTTGAGCCTTCAAATCCATGTACAGCCAGAATTATCCGCGTTTGAAAGTGAAAAAGACGACTCGTCTTTCTAGATACTCTTGTCATAAATAGAAAATACATAGAAATAGAAACTGAAATGCCTAGTTTGAGAAATTTTTGAAGAAACTATGCAGTACTATTAATGACTTTTTACATGTATGGAAGACAAAAACATATGAGAAAAAACATATGAGGAACAGAACTCCATCGTCGAAATCATCATAGGTAGTAACGGCAATATTTTGTTTTACTTATTTTCAATTTATAAGTTTCTAGAGATCTTTAAGGTCCACATCATTCTCCTATTCCAACGACAAACATTGTTTTACTCCATAGTAGTCCATACAACTGCAGTACCTACCTACACACATCTTCAGTAGAGACAGGATTGGGGGTGGCACGAGCTGTTATACTCAGAGTCAAACAGGATCTTATATTCGTATTGTATTGGTTTGGTAGAATAATAGGACAATTTTCTTCAAATGTACCATTACCTAAATTTATAAAGCAGAATGTGATATTTATGGTGCCGTCTACTATCCAAAGCAAAACAAAACGTTCTACCGCTTTATATGAGCGCCCAAGTTGTTCAAGCTCATTTACATTGAAATATCTTTTACTCTATAAATAACATAATTGTAAGAACTATGTATTGAAGACGGTGGAATAAACATGACAAAATATTGTATAAAACTAGTAGTTCCATAACGCTGTGCCTATATATCGTAAAATAAATGGAATGTGTTATTGCTTGTAAACGATTTACGATATCGGGTAAACTTACCCAAACACTTTTCCAAAACTGGAATCGGTATGAAGTCGTTAAGGTGTTCCGTATTTGTTGTAATAATTTGGACGATGTCTTCTGCTTTACAACCAGTCATATTAGATGCAAGTTGAATACACTGTCTGATAGTTGGCACTAGATAACTACAATAAACGCACAGAGTGGAGTAAAGTTTTACAAAAAGAAAACCAAATTAAGTTGTTCGTCCTTCTATCAGGAAAAGTTCTCTATAACTATGAACGGTCATGTTTGACCAGTATCAGAATATAAAGCGAAAGTAGAGAAGCATTTCCAGAACAGGACCGTTTATTCAAATCAACTTATGGAGGACGGGGGTCTGTGGGCTTCTTGGAATTAATTTAATCCTAAATTTGGACAAATCTGACAAAAATGGAGACGGCAGCTTCCGCTCCTGATTTTACATCATTTACAACCCCCATGATATTACCCTGTCCGGTCATTTTCCGTCTGTGTATGAGTATAAGACCTTCAGCGGTATTTTGTGATGCCCAATCACTGTCAAACTTTTTATAAGAATATCTTCAAAAGATACTTACAGACATGGTGTTGATATATTACGAACTGACTGTGGTATACAGGGTAACCGTTTTATCATGTTTATCATTGCATCACCATGTTGACATATATCTGGTATCGTATCAACTGTTAAGTTACTTACAAAATCTATAAAAGGTAGATCAATATTAGACTACGTATCATGGTACAGTTTAATAAGTCTTGCAATTCAATATTGTAATGGCGATTTAATACCTTCACGATATAATTATGCAATTTTGAAAGATGAATATTAGCAAAAGCTATTGCAACTTGATACTTTATTTAAACAAAATTTGTTCATAAATTATATAAGTCACAAAATAATCCGTTACCGTTCTGATACTTTTAGATAGAGTTCATTTTAAACAACCTTTAACTTTTCACGTCATAAATGTGCAATAAATATTGACGAAATTTAACAAAGCTAAAGCAATAATATATTGTATTTGAGATTGGGCTAATTCCTGATCTCATAGTTACTGGTTGTTCTAACAATACACATATAAGATTCATTTTCAGCAGAAAGGACAATGCCCTGGACTTACTGTTGCATATTTCAGCTACCCGAGGTATTGCTGACATCTGTGTCATATTTCCACTGATATGTCCTACTATATTAAAAACTGTTTGGATATACCGATGAAGTATCTTGATGGTACAGTTCATGCCTAATTTCGTGGTCATACATTTCAATGATTGGGCATATATACTGAAAAGATAGAAGGATTAATTGTAAATAAAACATTGTATTTCAAGGGAACACAAAGAGGCCTACATTTCAATGAATGAGCACATGCACTGAAAACAATAATTTTCGAATAGATTGGAAAGAATAAACCAAAATCTAAAGTACTGAAAGAAAAATGCATGTTTAAAGGATTCGCAGTAAACATTTGGAGCAGCAGTTTACATCTTACAAAATATAGTTGTAGTGATTTTAGTGAATGAAAAGAAACAAGTTACTATATTCATGTAAAGAAGGGTTTCAAAGTAAGGAACTTACGGATTTTATAGTTCATATCATGTTCATACCTTCCATCTCGACAAACCTGGCCCTGTCCATCTCACGAGGAACGGGTAGAGCCAGATTCGTCGGGCTAATTACCTGCAAGACGCTCCATCATTCATGAGAATAATTGGTGTTAAACACGGTGATATTGAAGTCATGTCAGCAGTAGATAGAGGGTTGATACATCCATTGCTTAACAGATCAGATGTATCATCTACAATGTATGGTAAATATGACATCTGAGGAAAATAAACGAATTTCAGTTTAACTCTGTCGATTAGGCTAAAGGAGACGGAAATACCAAATTAGATAGCAATATATGCAAATATATATCAATAAACGTTCATGTAGGCATTTCTGAGAATGTAGTCCACAAACAATTCGATAACTAATATCTTCAGGAATGTTTTGGAGCTGCATTTATAGAGGACTTTGGAATGGTTATAGCTGTGGTGTCGTTTTGGAGAACGAGCCGTGAGCAAATCAGTATCTCACACTATTCGCGGCAACAGCAATGATATTACAGAAAGCATTTGCTGCGTCAGTTTCGTAGCTTTCATGAATTTTATACCCTATGCAATAACCATCGACAGTAATAGATCAGCTATCATTACATAAATAAAATATGGCATTATCATCGCCATTTCTACAAATTTGCCATGAATATATAATGCTATAGAAAACAGATGTATTGAAAGATAATAACTGCGATTGGCTTCATAAGCAAGTCCATTCAGATATGATCGTAGTCCTATAGGTGTCTACTTACTGGAACACTTGGAAAAGTAAGTTTGAAGGAAGGTATCCACAGCTAAATTTGGTGTGAAGTTTTGCATGGAACATTCCGAGTTGGTCAATCTGGTAATATTATTTGCCAGACATTCCATATATGTTGCCAAACTGAAACAGAACATAAGAATGGGTTAAAAAGTGCAAAAATCATCGAAGTACAATGTACAGAGCTCAGTGTGAAAGGAACGTTTAAGCATAATGTAAGGGTATGGTCACGATTTTACTGTAGCGGTATTTTCGCACCGTATCAACACTGGGCAACACATATTCAACCATCATCCGTATTTATGTCTGCAGTCTAACGTGCGACATTATCTTTGGAGAAGGCAAAAGGTTCAAATTAATTTTAAATTACATATAGCTTTATCTTTAAGTGTGCTAATTTATTCTATTGATTAAGGAAGCTCCCTACTTGTCCATGTCATTATAAAATATTTCCTGTGATTCCCGAAGAAGTGTGGTACTAGAGTTATCTAAGTGAAGTAAGGCTAAGAAGCATTTATGAAAAAGAAAACATACTTGCAATCTTTAACCGAATCCTTACACGTAACATTAGATACAAAATCATAGACCACAGGACTGCTACAGAGTGATCCTCTATCAACAACGTACAATGGTGGATACAGCAGTTGGTTGTCATCTGGAGTTATATCAGAAAAATAAAATAAGCTTGTGTAATTATATGAAATAGAACGTGGAAGCCGAAACGGGGCCGACCCTCGTAAACAGTTTCACTCCTCCTTGAAGCGGTTTGAAACCTACGACACTTAACCAACTAGAAGACGACAATCCGACTTGCTACCGACTGATCTTTTCCACTGCGACTTAAGGATGTCATTTTAGGAAACTTACCTAAACAAGCCTGAACTTCAACATTGAACGTTTGTCTCATATAATCAGCGTTTTGATAGGTAAGTTGTAGAAAAGTCGACATGGAACATTCGATATCTCTGGCAACCATTGCAATATGAATACACTGAGCTAGTGACGTAAGTTTCCTGTTGAATAGAAGGCAGTGATAAATAACAAAGTTCTACTTTACTTTTCTACACCTCATTACTATTTAGTTTATGAAGATGGTCAACGCAATACAATGTACAAATCACATGCTATAAATCAAGTCTAAGTCAAAGGGCCGTATGCAGTGCTCTTACCTTGACTAAAGTTGAACTTTCGTAAAGATCGGTGCATACCTAAAGGTTCGACTTAAGTCTAACTTTACTCAAAGTTTAGGTAAAGTACGAGCGCTGCATATGGCCCAAAGTCTTTTTAAGGTATGTTTTGGACAGCAAACAAACCAGGAGGACATTTTTCTAGTCAGTAAGTTGTATGAGATAATGACTATATGCTGCTAGAGTGTGTTCTCATCAACATTAATTTGTTCTTTTTAGTTAGTATGAAAATACGGTTCCTAATAATGTTGGCACTTACGGGCATTTTTCTGAATCATTCTGTGCTAGTTTCAGCATTTGATCAGGGCAAATTGTGGAAGCTGTATCCAAAATGCTCTCCCATGCACAGATAGTGGTGTTTCTATACGGCGTCGTTGACGTATAATGTGGAGATGGGGTCGTCGTTATCTCATCTATAATATACACACAAACCAGTAAGTGATATGAAAACTTAAAATCATCTGAGCATTGGTGTCGAACTTTAACAAACAGTCAAATTTTAAAAAAAAAATCACCAAATCATACCTGAATTGTTCTCAATCAACAGCACAGATATTTCCGGACAATGTTAAAAAGAAGAAGGTTTACCTTTACAATCATCAATACTGCCAATATACATCATAAACGGCTGTGCTTGTATCATTTTATTTATTTCATACTTGGGACAGACCTTGAGGAGTCCATCAAGACAGTTGGCCATTCCCATTAAAGATCTATAATAATAAACAAAACTTATTACAGCAAGAAGGTCATAGGTGGCTTCCACAAAGAATATTTAAAGAAAACAATCTTTTTTTGCATCTTATCTAATATCTGCGGTAGCTGCAATTTCAGAAGTACTTGATCAGATTACGACGTCACTATAATTCGTCTTCAAAACTTCCCTTTAAGATTACATTTTGATGTGAAATACCAACATAAATTGTTACAAGTTTATAGTTCGGATGGAAACGGTGGCTATCACTTGACTTACACAATTAAAGAGTTCAAGTAAAGTGGTAGTTATCACGAATCGGCCTATTTCAGTATTAGTTAAGTACAGATTTTACGTTCTTACCCACAGAAGCCTATGCGATGCGGATCAGGAATATATTCTTTACAATCATAGGTTATAAAATACTCGAACACAGCGCCATCTGTACATAGGTTATCTCCCCTTGGTACATCATGCTCACTTGGTACTACAAAACATTACGGTAAATTGTGCATATAATTATCTTAAACCACACGTCGAAATATTTTCTGTTTATCCAAAAGAACATGTGTCGAATAAACAATCTTCAGGACAGCATTCTTAGAAATGGAGAAAAACTTTCTGAAGGGGACTTAAGGAATATCATCTGTATGAGACTTAGTAAAGTAAGCGACCTCACTGAACTTGAGTCATGTCATTTGACTCGGCTATTTCAAATTATATCTATCGTCCGGTTGTATTAACACAATTAAAACAAAGTCCAATGCAGTAATTAAGAAGTTGTTAACAACTGACAAAACCGAAAATATACAGACTAATGGCTAGAATAGACAGTGTTCGGTTTTGGGTTTGGGAAGCAGATCGCCTTTTCTTTTTTCTAATCTACCCAGAACTCGACACCGTGCCCAATCTTGAGCACCATAACATAGTAAATTACTTACTATCACAATTTTCTGGATTAAATCCTTGAAGCACGGAGGAACCATACAGCCGTGTAATGTCATTTATAGAACAGTTATAGCCCATATAAAATGACGAGGAAGCGACACATCTCATAACATCAAACAATATACTGTAATCAAAAAATCAGAATTTGTCAGCGTCGTATCAATCTAAAGAAAATAGATCCATCCATCCAACGATTTTGAAGGGCGTAACAAGTTATTTGGAACCTGCTACTAAAAACGTTCGGTCGGCTGAAATATGCCATTTTCTGATGTGAGAATCTCAAATTGATTCAAGAATAGTATGGGTATCAGCCATGATTTAGGTAGATCTGGAATTTAGACCCGAGATTAATACCGTGATATTTCATGTATATTCTGAAGAGTTCTACACTGACCTGCATTTGACACTACCATTTACTGCTTCTTGGAATTCTTTTATTGATGCCTGACATGTGTCTAGGGTACTAACATCGGCTGCTGGTAAAACTGAACAATTAATCAGATTCGTTGGTGGTATCTCAACAACATCTATGTATATATTAAAAGAATGTATTAAATTGTGCACGTTTTGATCATGTACTGACGTTAAATGGTACAAATTGAAGATCTGTCTTAATTCCAACAAAACAATAAATGAAATGACAATAGTATTATCCTACGTGCCTGATTGAGAAATTAACACCATAAAGATAATGTTAAAACATCAATATTATACAAAGGGCTCTTTCATTCAAATTCAACCTGGAGAAGATGCACACTAATTTCTTAGTTCCTTGGGATGTCCTTAAATCCGGAACGAAATTCGATGAAGACCATTTCTTGACTATCAAGAAGCACAAACCTTTCTCTAAACAGGTAGTAAAATTGAAAGTAGAATTCAATTCAAACATGTCTATATTATCTACCAAGTATTCCAGAATGGTGGATTTAGAACAGAACATTCCTGATGTGCTTATTCTCGTAGAAACACAATCCACTAACATTGACAATGATCTGAAATATATCAGAGAGAGAGAGAAAAACAATGTTACTTTATTATATTAAGATGTGCTGAACAGTGACTTTATTATCTTTACAGATATTGACACAACTACATTTAAATGTGCTTCATGTTGACGTATATCCAAACGAAACGCATCATTTAACTTACAGGCATTAATAATATAATAAATATTTATGTAAGTATTTGGAACACTGCAACACTATAAGCAAAAAGAAGTTTGACTGTCCTTCGAGACATGACAGTCCTTCTGTCAGTGGCAACTCCAGCCTCCTGAAACACGGGGTACACGTGTGCTATAATGCTTTAGACGTAGACGTACTTAGAAAGGAAAACAAAATCAATACATACTGGCATGCTGGTTGGTCATTAAGATTCGCATAGTAGGTACACGGTGATGACGAGGCTATTAACACCATTAAATCACCAGCTTCACATATAGAACGAGTCTCAATCGGAGCTACAAAATCAAATTAGTTACTTATCGATAGAAAAGATACGATGATGTAGAAAGAAGCATATCGTTATCAAAAACATTGAAGCATAAAACTGAAGTTGCAGTTGCTGGTCGTTTGATGATCTTAAAGCATGTACTAAACCTACATTTATCCACACTAGAAAATCACGTATATTTGGGAATTTGCGAAATATGTCAATGCTTTCTAATTTGTTGACTTCGTCAAAATTTGATGTCATGTTTCATAATATACCGGTCAGTAACAAATTTCAAACAGATATACGATTTTGAGGCTGCTATCACCAGAATATTGAAATTAAAGCTGAACATACCTGTACAGTTGTCGGGATCAAAATTAAAAGATTTGAAAACTAAAGAAGTATAGGAGTAGACGGCTGGTCTAATATTGTCTGTTGTACAATCATATCCCAACATTTTACTCTTTTTTATAGCACATCTCATTGCCATCGCCAATAATCTGAAAGGCAAATTATAAAGGAATTCCTAGAGGTTCTGCAGACAAAAAAATGTAGAAGGAAGGTGGGGTGTTTTAGGATGGGTGTATTTCTGATGGTGGAGATGTGTTTCATTCTATATTTATCACATATGTTTTCTGATTCCCTATTTTGGAATTCACGAGGATTTGGAAACTACACATAAGAAGGTTGTTTAGTAACATTCTACTTATCTATTTAATGTCTTTCCAAATTTCTGAATATGCCCTATAACCAGATTGTAATCTCTATGTTTATACATGTATGCTCAAAGAAACGAGTAGGGATAATTGAACTGAAAGTGGGATGACACGACATTGGACGATTTTTTTTATAATTGCTGCTTGGATTAATGAACACGGGGTATCACAAAGACTACCATCAGTACAAGAAATATGGATAAATAAATCTATACTTGACTTACCTACAAGCGTTATCATAGTCAATATCATCAGATAGACTGACAAATACCAAAGAAAAACATTTCAATACATATTCAGGAGCGTTGGGGTCAATCACAAGTTGGTTGACTGCAGAACAGGTCTTGTTCATTGGCTCAACGCCTGAAATCATCAACAGTGTTAATACGTATGGCACAATATTTACAACGATAAAGAAGTCAACATCGTGATAATGCTCCTTTAATAACGAAATACACATAGATCGTCCTTAAAGGACACTATAAATAAAATGAAATAACTTTTTCTCGAAGGAACCTCGTTAGAAGTACACAACATATTTCAGATCAACAGACGATTGACTATCAAATACCATATATCATCCAATATCAAATAACAATAAGTATAAATGACATTAAACACACAAGTGGAGAATTGTATTTTCTACATAAATAGGGATGTGTGGAAATCTAATTTTTCTGATTTTTTGAATTTAACAGTAGCCTAAGAATTTGCTAAGCACTGGAAAAAAAATATACTGTTCCGGAACACAAACTATAGTATTTACAAACCTGAACAAGATCGAGGGTTGATTCCTACGTATGGCATGACTCCATCGCCATGATCCTTAAACAGTTCATACACCAATGACATTGGACAGGGGATGCCACGTGTTTCTAATGACGATTGGATACAACCATACAATTGGGATAGCTTTCTGTGAATAGAATCAATCATTGATCTAGATTTTATAACAAAATTCCTTATCATAATTAGAATAAGTCGCGTTTTGCACAAAAAAGATCACTGATGTGCTGTTTAGAATTCATTGTGCTTCTGGTCTCCTTTTCTTCATGCAGTCTCAGTCTTTTTCCTCGTGTAGTTTCAGTCTTTCCCTCGTGAAGTTTCAGTCTTTTTCCTCATGCAGTCTCAGTCTTTTTCCTCATGCTTTTTCCTAATGCAGTCTCAGTCTTTTTCCTCGTGTAGTCTCAGTCTTTCCCTCGTGAAGTTTCAGTCTTTTTCCTCATGCAGTCTCAGTCTTTTTCCTCATGCTTTTTCCTAATGCAGTCTCAGTCTTTTTCCTCATGTAGTCTCAGTCTTTTTCCTCATGCTTTTTCCTAATGCAGTCTCAGTCTTTTTCCTCATGCAGTCTCAGTCTTTTTCCTCATGCAGTCTCAGTCTTTCCCTTGTGAAGTTTCAGTCTTGTTAACAATATGATTGTCAATAGATACCGATTACTGTCAACCATTCATTGTTCATGTTCAATACATGTATTACTTACTCGCATTTGCCGTCAATATGTGTACTGTTCACATCCATTATTTCACCTGGACACGATTTGGGTATGCTTTCTGTAATATCATCCCATTTACAGGTGGTATTTACTATTGCTGACGGAGTCGTAGTTTCCACAGAAACGTTAAAATCTACAGAAAAAAGGACAAATCAGTATGAGATGATTAATTTAAAAATCAATTTGAAACAAAACAAGGTCTGCTGGTGTGTGGGTCTGTGGGGGGTTTCTAAATCAGTATCGCTATTGTATCTGTTTATCATATATGAAGTTCAACAGCTTGGTTTGGTCCACGCCCATGTGACATCAGTAATGTACAGAGGTGTATGTAGTATAATGCATTATATTAATAACTAAAAGTATGTTCCGATATCTGTAAGATAAATGTTAATTTCAGAAGTTCCCTTGCTGCACATGTGATAATCGTTTGTAAAAGATATCTGATTTGTCAAGTAACTGAAGGATCAACCAATCAAAGCGCTTAATTTTCAATTCGACCATTATCATAAATTCAAATGAAACGCTGATGGCGATTCACAATTTTGGCACTGTGGATGATAGCCACATATTGGGTATTACGTTCGATTACCTGGTACAGAACAACCAGTAAAATTGAGTGATGGATATTTAGCTTGTACGAACTCGGCATTCTCTATCAGAACAGTCGCTACATCTCTCGGTGTACAGTAAATAACAGATTCATGCAGAGTTTTCACCACACAGAATGATATATGTGTTAACAATCTATAATAAAATACACAATTCCATTGTTAAAAGAAAGAAACTAGGTATAAATACAAAACTTGCTGTCGGGTAAAATCTTACTCTCAAGTCCAATGAAAATCAATACAGAATAAATAAATGTACTGAAGAAGACACATCAGCAAATAGAAAACATGTATCATCATATTTTTTTGAAATTTCAGTACCGCAAAGGCCGTTTCATATAGAAGAAATTAAACCTTTCCTTTCCTCCATTCTAAATACCAAACAATTTGAAGTATACGTGATTCGGGTTCAATATTTATCATAATCCTGAATAATTAGTTTTGGTCGATGTGTAAGAATGACAGTACCTCACATTTTGACATGATTGTTTTCTGGATACACAAGAATAACATTTGTTAAAGATTTGTTAAAGAAGTAACTCACGTGCAAAGTGAATCTGGCATTTCTGATACATCATTCAATACTGGCTGGACACACGTGCTCGTCGTATACTTTAATAAAGCTTCTTCATTGTCACAGAGAGGTCGAGTTGATGGCACTACTTCTAGCGTCAGATTATCTAATCAAATAGAACAAGACCTTCATTATTCTACCATTATCTTATTAGTCAAAAATCATCAATTAAACTGCATGGACTGATTGGATAGATAAATTTGGATTGCGATCCGTCAGGAAGGTGGTATTATGATGTTAGAAAAGACTTGATAAGAGGTTAACTTTTCAAGTTGAAGATTGAAGGAATGAGCAAAGTAAGCTAATTTGCTTGAATATATTTTCCCAAATTCAGATATTCGTCGTTAATTTACAGATGTAATGACACACCTTCACAAACACTAAAATCAAATTCAGATAATTTGTTGTCTAGAAGATAGTTTGCTGTAGGTATCGAGAGTGTTCCTGGTTGACAAAATACCTCTAAATATCTCAAATAATAGCTCATACACTCTAAACCTTCGCCATAAAATCTGGAATAAGAACATTTTTTGATCAATGAATACTTATTTGTACTCTTTCGGATTCATCGGGAATAAAAACAAACTTACCTTGATAGACATGTTCAAAAACACAAACTGTCGAGGGATATTCGCAGAATCTATTTCTTAATAGATAATATAGACAAATAATGCTTTTTCGGATGTGGGACAGAAATTAATTAATTCTTTCGGTTTCTTTGAAGAATGACCATTTAAAATAACGGAAGAAGTGTATGTAAAAGAAACTTCACATCACAATATTATTCATTTTCGAACAAAGTCATGTTAAGGTACATATCGTTGCTGAAGGACACTATAGAATGAAAACTTTCTCGAATGAAAAAAGTGATTCAACAAAATCACTTCGTTTCACCAAATTTAACTGGTCAAGAAACAGGCCTTGCTCAATCAAAGTTACCGGCGAGAACATTGATAATATATATGAATATGTGAATGATTAAATAAGGAGCCTTGTTGACTTGCAAATTCTGGAGGGTAAGACATAATTAAAACTTACTCGCAGGTATCTTCCACTGTTATATCTGTATAGTTAATGAACGATAGGAACCGTAAACATACTAAGATATCTTCCTTCTTTACCAGAGCACTGGAACAATACTCTTCATCTGTAATAGATATTCATTATTAGTGTGGATTCCTCTAAACTCGTGGTGAGCACGATAATCCGTCCGTGTTGCAAAATCAACAAGTCTGTTTACATTTTACAGACAAATAAGGATACTTAAGGAAATTTCCTTTGAGCTTTTTTTTTCATTGTAAATTCCACATCGTAATGAGTTATTCATTCTGCAGTTAATAAGAGCACATGAGACATGTGTTCATTATTCAATAAAGAATCCAAGTACTAACGATCAGAGCCTCAAAACAAAACCCGAATTTCAAAATAAAAATTTGGCAATACATTAGTAGCAGAGTGTATATCTATAATTAATCCGGGAATAGTTGAGAGAGGGCGTCATGAACATCCAACAAATATTTTTGCATTCGGGAACGAAAACGATTTTTTTTACGTATTTATAAAGAGAAAATGAAAGTGGTACATACTATCACAGACTGTGATATTGCTGTTAGTTTCATTGATTTTACCAATAACGGCCTGTTCGATTTTAGTGGCTGTACAGTTGGAATCCAGGCGCTGTACTGTTCTGATTGTACACTGTAGTAGATCTGCTAGTGTGATACTATATCAACATAAACCACAACATTGCATTAGAACAAATGTTCAAAACGAGGAGGAATATTATGCTAAAGATAATGGGGATATTATGACATTATGAAGAACATTATTCATTTCAAATTGTTGTTGTTTCTGTCTTCATTAGTATCAGGAGCGAAAATAGTAGTACGTTTGCCTCCATCATGTTCATGTATCTTATTACTGGAGACTTACCTACACTGATTCTGACCCTGTTTGGGTTGATAAAAACACAGATTGGAGAAAATCGTTCCTGATATATACTCCTCATCATCACAAATATTCACCATTTTCTCTAAAGATTCCATGTGTTCTAAAAATAAGTATCAAATATCGAGCGCTATCCAATCATGTTAATCAAAATGCTTGATTTGCATAATTCGCCTTCTTCGGAAACGAAAAGCTTATATGCATAACAGACCCGTAGCCAGAGGGGCAATTAATATAACCAGAGGGGCAATGGAGTATGGTATTAAGAAGCTGTGATGATATTGATCGACCGTCAGAATTCTTCCCCACACCTTGTTGCCCCGTGGCATTACATGATGAATGTTGGAATTCCCCATGTATCAAAGAATCATTACATTACCTTGACATTTTGCAACACGTCCTATCTTCTCTGCACTACCGTATATAAATAACATAGCGGATAATCCATTCTCTCCTAAAGACTTTGCATATTCCATCTGTCCCATCAGAACACGGGATATATGTGAAGCAGAGCACGTCTCGCCATCATTTGCCTTCCTTTCAAGACACCGAGTGCCTTCTAAATACATTCTGCAACACAACATAATAACACACATATACCAATGACAAAGTCTTAACATAAATAAAAAAAAAAATCAGCTCTCTGGCATAAATATGTGATAATATCATTCTAATTCAAATGTTCTTGTTCTCTTAACTTTTTCAGAAAAAGAGCCAAAATAAAAGAGCGGCCTTATTCTTACCTAAGATGAATAGAGTATTCCAGTCATCTGATTGGACAATCAATAAAAATTGATTTTAAAATAGTCTACTGTATGTTTGCTTGGTTAATCTTTAGAACACGATCTAGCATACTTACATCTTACAATGTTAGAAGAAAAAAAAAGCATATTGAATGATTGTTCGTCTTTCTCGGATCGTCTGGTAAACAAGGGTTAATATAGTGGTAGGAATCGTTTGTTCACATCATCTGACTGTGACTGGGCAATCACTTAAATCACTCTATTTTTTCTCAGTTAATCTTTAGAGAACACTGTTTAGATATTCATCAACTCCCAGATGACTGAAGTCAGAACCTTATACTTATATCTCGCACAGATATAAATCAAAAGGATAATATAGTGGTAGGAATCCGTTGTTCAGTTTACCTGCAGGTGGAGTTTAAAGACGTAGTTTCATCTTTTAATTCACGTAAAGATTGAAAACATGGTGGCACTTCATTGTGATATTCCGCTTGAGACATCCCATAACAACTTCCATTAATCAGTGGTGCCATTTTGTCTGTTTTAAAAACGAAATACATGTCAACATGGTACTTTATACATTCCCGAAGCCTAAACTCCGAGACAATTAAGAAACATTTGGCAAGAAAATGAAACGGTTCAAATTTTTAAAATTTCGAAGACATTGTTAACGAATCTTTAACGGGATCGAGCAGAAAAGGTTTCTGAATTTGCGTTTCCTTTCCTTTTTTGTTGTATATCAACGATTATGCGTTTTGTCCTTGTTATCCTAGATTAGGAAGATAAATCAATTCAAAAATTCAAAACATCTGCGCATTGAACAAAATTACATTTGAGTTTTAAGAGTAAGCATAAGAGACGAGCATGCCATTTAATGCCTTTCTTTTATTTTTGACCAGTATGTCTTCAATATTTTTACAACTCATAGGAAACTGCATTCACAAACTTCCGTGAAACAAGATAGTGGGTCGTTACAGTCAAGACATAAGATGAAGATGACCTTAGCCAATCTATACACAAACCTTCGCATGCTTTTACTGTCGATCTATTAAATACACTATCTCGGTTTTGATTTAGTAACATGGTAACCTTTTCTTGGTTGCAATTGAGTTGCAGATCATTCAAATGCTCTGTGACACATTTAGGTGCATTGAACAAAGAACTGGAAAACAACAATAAAAATCTGATTCATCACAGCATTACAATCGCACAACATTCAGAAATTACCCAATTGACGATCCTTCGAAGTTATCATGCAAATATAAGCACATTAAAAGTTATAATTTGAAGTTAGTTTGTTTGCATATTATTTTAAGGCATTGTTATTCTTGCTGTTTAGAATGAACAGTGATGGCCCTACTGCTTTGCTTCTGTGGTCTTTTGGACTATATGTTAAAGTCAATGTTCATAAAATAATTTAGTACCTACCTGCAAGGCTCATTGTCTGCGTCATTTCCGTTACATTCATAATAAATAACATATCTTAAAGCATTGAAATCGTCACAGGAAGTTGATGATGGAAATGGTTCTATGATATCAAAATCTGTACCTTTAAAAGTCAAATTGATAAAAATGAAACCAAAGTAAGTCTTAACTGTTTAATCCAAAATCTAAATCGAATGTAGCCGGCCAAATAAATGAAAGCACAAACAGCAGCATAAACCCGTAAGATAGATAATAAATAAGTTTATGTATGCTAGAATTATCGTTTGCAAAAATACTTTAAAAATACTTCACTTGAACTTTCTTACCTAAACAATCATATGTCGTAACACTAATCCAGTCCCTAGAATTATTGTACATCAGTTTCATGTCTTGCACGGAACATTTATATTTCAGAACATTAGCTGTCCAGGTTGAACATTTTACTACTTGACTGTAATGACTGCAAAAGTAAAATCCTCTAATATGCAAAGTGATTTCAAAAGCAATAGGGTGTTTGACCTAATGCGATGTTCGAACCACCATCAACGATTTGGTGTTGAGGTGAAATCCATTGTTTCAGGGGCTGCAGTCAAAGTAGTTAATAATGATGGACATCATTTGGTTGAATTGAAATAATTAATTACACCATTTCAACCGAATGGTGTCATAATCCGAAAAAGGATTTCTGGAATCACTGTATTAATTGAACTAACAATGGGAATAAGATATACACTTCAGCTATATCTACTTATATATAAAATCTCTTCCAAAAATAATATGTGTTTAATTTGTGTCGTCCGATTTGAATATTTTGCCTTATTCCGGAACAACCTTGTTCAAGTTGTGGCCTCGCAAATTCTTCCAATGTTAGTCATGGCACAGTATAATTTGTTAATTTGCTCATTTAAACAGGAACACCCTACTGGGATTTAGACGTACTGATTTTTTTCTGGTAATGTAAAGAGATTTTCTAAATTTATAAATGTGTATTGGGAACATTGATAGCATCAATTTGCACCAACCAAGATTTCCATCAGACGTCTATGGTTCCTGCAATTTCACTAAAAGTAGTGATTTATCGCAAAAGATGCTTTATCACAAAAAGGGCGATTAATGACGTTCATAAAACGCTTGTTTTAGTGGAATTGTAGGAACCACTGACGTCTGATTGAAAATTGGAATGGTGCAAATTGATGACATCAGTGTTCTCGATGCACATGTAAAAATTGAGAAAATCTCTTTACATTACCAGAAAAAAGTCAGTACGTCTAAAAAAATTTGTTAGAAAACCTATTTACATATCATTTTAAGTATTTTACTTACTAACACTGGTCCTCGTGAACTGAAGCTTCATTTGCAGCTTTGATAGATGAATTACAGACACTTGTTATCATTTCTTTCCACGATTCCAAATCAGGACATAACGCTCCTGGTGCAATCCCTTGGGTTGTAAGGGGTGTATTTGTGGTCGAAGAGTAAGCTGCAGTTTGAATATTTGCACTTGAGGTTGTTGCAATGGAAGAATTTGAAGATCTATTTGCAGCTGGTGTAGTGGCCGTGGTTACTGTTGATATAGTTTGATCCGGTGTCGAAGATGGTGAAGTGGTCGGAATTGAGAGAATAGCTGATGGTGTAGTCGAATTCATGGCTGGAGCCGAAGTTGTTGCAATCGTTGTTGATTCGGTTGGAGTTGGTGGAGTGGTTGAAGTCGACGTTGCTGCAATCATGGTTGATTCTGTGGTTGGAGTTGGCGTAGAGGCTGAAGCCGCAGTTGTTGCTATCGTTGTTGATTCTGTATTTGGAGTTGGCGTAGAGGTTGAACCCGCAGTTGTTGCTATCGTTGTTGATTCGGTGGTTGGAGTTCGCGTAGAGGTTGAAGCCGCAGTTGTTGCTATCGTTGTTGATTCGGTGGTTGGAGTTGGCGTAGAGGTTGAAGTCGTAGTTGTTGCTATCGTTGTTGATTCTGTGGTTGGAGTTTGTGTAGTGAGTGAAGCCGCAGTTGTTGCTACCGTTGTTGATTCCGTGGTTGGAGTTGGTGGAGTGGTTGAAGCCGCAGCTGTTGCTATCGTTGTTGATTCTGTGGTTGGAATTGGCGTAGAGATTGAAGCCGCAGCTGTTGCTATCGTTGTTGATTCTGTGGTTGGAATTGGCGTAGAGATTGAAGCCGCAGTTGTTGCTACCGTTGCTGATTCAGTGGTTGGAGTTGGTGTAGTGGTTGAAGCTGCAGTTGTTGCAGTTGTAGTTGAAGTTGGTGGAAAGATCGTAGTAGTAGTAACTGCAGCTACTTCGATGGCATCTGCGTCAACATCTATTACTGGCAGAGAACTTGTAACTCCCAATTGATCTTGTTGCTTTTTTAATTCTTCTATACCCTGTTTTAGAGCCTGTGCAACTATGTACGGTTTATTCTTTAGGTTCAGTTTCTGCTCCTCTAGCTCTTCTTTCTCTATTTCTGCAGTAACAGAGCGTAGTTTGACGCTCATATTTACCTTAATGCTTCCTTCACTGTAAAGATAGGACATCAAATTCTTATAGTTTTTTATTACCAATCATACTTTAGTCTCAGAAACGGGAATTTTTTTTAGCTAAGCCAATCGGTAATAGAGTTCATAGCTTACCGTCGAATAGATACTCTGTGGACTGTGATATATAGAAAAGACATACAGAAATATTTAAAATAATTACATATCATTTATTTATTTACGAAACCTGAATCAAAGCCCGAAAATGGCGCCCCTGTCCCTTTAAAAGACAGGATTCCAGAACTCCTGTAAAACTTGGGAAATAAATCAAATACTTCATAGTTTTCATCGAAAGAACAGTAAAAAAACAAGTATCGAGTGATTGTATTTATTAGCGCACGAAGATTCAACAATTAAAACAGGTGAAAAAAATTGACAACGGTAGCATAAACCTGTCAACACGTAAAAGTTCATAATCTTAGACAGAAAAGAAATGTTACGATTTCGTAAGCTCAGAAGGGAAGTCGCTAAATTACCTTAAGGAATTCACTACACTGTAGTTATAAACCGGTGCTATAGGACTTTTTAAGAATATGGTATCAAGCTGAAATACAAATGACAATATAAGCACTGTTAATTCTGAAGGAGTTGTCTAGTTCAGTCAAATGGTGGCATTGGAAAATTTACTGAAGGTGAATTTGGATAATCATCTTTCCGGTTGAATTAAAACTTCGTGGAGGCAAATGAGGCAAATGTATCACTTATGAAACGAAAGAACGGTTTCCTTTCTAGTATGCATTTCAAATCACCAAAGACTTTTGGATATCCGAACTATTCCACAAGTGGATTGCGCTACGGCTTTGAACCGGAGAAAAGAAACTCTATGCAATATATTTAATAGAAAATTCTTACCTGTTTTTCCATATCACTTGCAGTCTGTCTGAACACATCACTTTCTTTATCAGCCATCCGCGTGTCCCAATCATAGTTTGTTACTCTAATAGAGGCTTTAAAATCAGGATCTGGAATAACCGAGACGACTGGGGTAGTGGAATGGGGAAATGGAAATCATACATACAAAGGGGCATCAACACGTGTCTATATGGCACGACAGTCATATTTATAGATATAAATGTCATAATCGGAAAACAGTTTAGTTAGAGCCATCTTGAAGTCCTATTTTCAAAAATATAAATCTTCGTAGCTATTCTGATACCTTTATAATTGACTTAAAACATGAGAACTGTGAATTATTGCTTTCATTTTGGGATGTGGTACAGGTAAGCTAAATATACCTACCCGCTGCTAAAGATTCTGAATCAAGTCTAGAAGCTGGTGGTCGAGAAGGCATTGACCCATTATCTATCATCTGTTCATCTGCAAATAATTTAAAACATATTAGTAGTTATGACTTCTTGGCTGTTATAAGCAGGGTACCAATTGAGAGGTGACATTTTCACAATTCATCTGTTTCTTGTATTTTTCTAAGACTTAAGAGTAGAAAGGTATCAAAGTCATGAAGATCATTTAAATGTCAAAACATTTTTCTGTTTTGATAACTTCATCATGTTTAATTATTGAAGACGGAAAATCTCATAAAGTTTTAAACAGAAAGTAACTTACTGAGAAAGTAAACACTTATACCAATTGCAATAATTACTAGTAAAACTAGTAGGAATATTGCTGCAGCACCAACACAATGTCTCTTGCTTCTGCTTTTATGATTCCTTGATCTGCTATTGCTTGTGTTTGACGAACGTTCTGAAATATGAGCAGCTTAAGCAACATCTTAATAAAAGGATTGTAGAAATGAAATGAATTGAATGGAGTTTTACGTCCTCCTAAAGGGATTGTAGAGAGGTTGTCAACGTTTTTTTATGTGTATCAGGTACACTGATAGCATCAACATGCACCATTCCAACTTTCAATCAGACGACGGTGGTTCCTGCAATTCCAGTAAAACTAAATGTTTGATGACGTCCTTAATCGCGAAGTGCCTTATGTGATCAAGCAACTTTCGCGATTAGTGGCGTCATCAAACACATATTTGTTTGTAGAATTGCAGGAACCACAGACGTGTGACTCAACATTGGAATGCTGCAAATTAATGCGTTTAGGATCCCTGATACACATAACATTTTTAGAAAACCTCTTTACAATCCTTTTAATTATTAATCAGAAGAAATTCATCACATCTATACGTCAATCGACTGAAGACATTTTGTGATTTGAGACGAAAATATATTACGGAGAAGGTTAAGCATCATCTTCTGAATTAATCCAGTGGCACCTTTAACAAATTAACCACCCGACGAAATATTTTGATTTAGGACAAAAGTGTAAACATTTCTATTCCTAAAGAAAAGATGATGTTTAACTTTACTGGAGATCACAAAGTAAGACCTGGTTAGCTAAAATGTACAATTCCTATTGAGTTATATATTCTTCATTTTCATCTTCTAGCTTGCGGCACATACACAAAATAAATCCTGTTTGAGATTCAACGCTTTCAGAAATTTATTGTGGCAAGATTGTGAGATCTTATCATTTGAATACCAAAAAACTTACGTTCAGTCTTCTGAAAGAGGGGTTGGAGAGCAATTAACTTACCTTCTTCATTTCTGTTTTGATGCATTTTAGGTGACAACACGAAATTAGGGTTATCATAATACCCTCCACGACCTCGTGTAACTTTTAAATCCCCGCGGGTTGGTGAAACAAACGTTTGATCTGGCAAGTCTCCGTAGGGCCTCACAGCGTAGAACTTTTTATCCCCTTCTCGACTTCTTGGCATATCTGTGAACATAACGATATTTGTAAATATATGTCAAGAACTAAACGTGTCCCTACTAACATTAGTCTGTAAATATGACATTTCAGACTGAATATGAACTGTCAACACCCTTTTATGTGAAAAACTAGAACCGTGAACCATGGTGAACAGGGGCGTATTAAGTGGGAGCCAAAACTCCGTTTCCCGCTCCTCAGGCTGTTTCTAGAAATTCCATGATTGTGACATTTGTCTACAATCTACGCAATCATTTCATACCTGCCCAAGATAATGAAGGTATAGATCACCCGATTCTTCATATTGATGTATGTTACTGCGATGTTCTTGTTAGATACAGCTTCAGGGATCGTTTCCTAATTTATTACAAAGCCTGCGAATCATAATGACCTAAAGACAAACCTTTAGACTTGAGGGTCCAGGGTGATTCAGATTTCGAATGGTTCAGTGTGTAGCCAGGCTCTTTTGGCGTCTCTTTTGGGTGTCGACGTGGCGATTGTCGTGATTGTGGATAATGACAATATTTTATATCTACAACTCCCTCCGGATATCCAGGTGCCTGAAATTATCAGATTTTGAAAATCATTTCTGGACTAGCAGCACTTGTAACGTCTTATTATTGCTCTATTCAGATGTCTCGTCCGACTTCTGTTATTTCTATAATTTCAGATCATTTTTATTGAATTAAGTTAGTACCACTTTTAGGACATTTTACACCACAGTGAGACTTCTATCCTCATACAATGATAAAAACATCAGACCGTGTACACAGTACATGAATGAATGCGGGCAGCGTAGAGTTTGGTTTTATTTATTTAATATAAATACTTAATTCATTGGAAAAAAATAAATTATAAGAATTCTTTTTTACTATAAATTATTTGATGTTATTTTATGAGCGATATTCGATATTCGATAATCGTAAAATTGTCAAAATATAAAAGGCTATGGGTAATATCTAGCCATCTTTTTTTCGAGATGCTTTATACAGAGTCATAAGCTGTGAAGTTTCATAAGGTATAATTTTATCAGATTTCGGTTATTACGAATCCTCAAATATCAGAGTCCGTGACTGAATGAAAAGAGTATATGAAATTAATCACTCTTTAAATGTTTATACTTGGCAATGTTATAATTCTCATATTTCAGACGACTCTAAACAAAAACGGAGTTATAGGGACAGATGTGTAATTTTTAGGGGGTTGATTCGGGTCTTGAATATATGTAAACATAGTCTTCTAAAATACCATAAATGTATGAAAATCGCATAATTCCTTAAATTATATTTCAAACTAGGAATTTCTTTTCCTATTTCTATAAATGTCTTGAATATATGTTATTCATTTATTAAATCGAGGATTCAAAATGTTTGTGAACTACGTTCGTGTGTGTCAGTTCAATATCAGAGCCATACACAGTTTGGTATGTTAATTGTCACTTTCCTAATTTGTAAGTTTGTTTACAATGTTTGTTAAGCATTCTTTTACATATCGATAAACCTATCTGTTCACTACCCCGAGGCTCTTAAGTTCAGGCCCAAATTGTATTTAAACGTGGTTTTCTATAGCATAATAGTACACGCAACACATTTGGAACACCTTATACCACTGAATTTGGCGATCCTGTTACTTTTACCAAAATTTGGGCATTTTTATATTCAACTTGATATGCCGCTTACTATGATACATTTTATTTCGATTTTAATTCTGTAATATGGTTATGCATTTGAACGAAAATTTGTTTGAAAAGGATTATATTCGTTTACCAAAGTAAAAAGTATGGTAATCAATTTAAGAGCATTAACATCAAAATTACCCCATTTAAAGTGAGTAGCCAAATTAAAATTTATCACGACGATCTGCGATTCAAATCAAATTGTATATCTCAAGGTTTTGAATTGCTATCGATTTTTTTTAAGAAATGCGAATCAAACTGTAGCTTGAATAGTCACAACTTTTTGTGTGTGTTAAATTGCTACTCAAATTTTGTAATCTAAATTGACCCTGGCTAATACTTATATCAATATAATCAAGCTTCGTATTGATGATTCTAAAAAATAACGCACCTGTGTTGTCACACCTGTAATTATGAAGAGCATCAGCGAAACACTACCCCGAGATAATCATTGATACAGTTATTACCCAAGAAATAGATATGCGTGTTGGTATGCACATATCAAAGCGTGTATCTCTATGTATATATAAGCATGTCTTCATTATCGACAACCAATCCAACAGAACAGAATCATCTTATTTGAACCAATCCAACTACCAACTACTACGACTACCAACAATTACCTAGTCTGCGATTTCATCATCCGCTGGAAGCGAACGTTAACTTGTCAACTGCTAACCAACGTGTGTGTGTCATATTAGTCAGTCGGAGAGAATGTCGATATACCTTAATAAGGTGTGATCTTTTGACCCCTATCTCTTTATACTTCTACTCAAAATAACGAATATAATTTCTGCTTCACCGAGTTTTTTGTTATTAGGATGAAAACAACCGTTAATCAATGATATTTAAAGCTCATATAAAATTCGATTAGGTGCCTCAGGGTTTGAATCCCTCTACTGCCTGGGCCTACAGATATCATCGTTTGCTATATCATTTAAACTTGTTAACTTAATAACAGGTAGGAGTAAAATAAAATAGCAAAAAAAAAAAAAAAATAGGGATGGGTTAGCATCATATTATGAATCTGATCATAATATTCGCTGAAATATGTTCAGCCATGAATCTATAGCTTAAATTATTTAGTGGTAAATCATGTATCTCAATGTGCATTGGCCTAAATAGATTTCAACTCGTTAACAAACGTCTGTAGCAATTCGAATTCGAGTCTCAAAATATGTGATGGAATTTCAGCGGCGGCAGCTAGCCATTCTCATTTTCACATTGGGTATCTTTGAGCAAACTTGAAAGTGATTTTGTATTCAAAATATGTTTTTCCTACTTGCTGGAGTGTTAACCTGGCTGTTACAATCTCAAGAAACTCTTATATTCACAATTCACAACACTGTAAAATCAGCCTGAAATATATCTGACTGGACTATAGATCGAAGACGACATAAAGACGAAGCCTATCGGAAAACTTAGCATGGCACGACGAACATGATACAAAAAAAGCTGAAATGGGGCTGTATCAAATGGTAAAACGAAATATTTATGCTAATTCATCCATATAGACTTTTAATATAATCATTAATTAGGTTACTTAATTGAAATGTACAAAACCTTTGTTAAAATAAGGCTCAATACATCTACTGTAGTGCCATAGAACTATATAGATTATATATTACGTGAACAATATCTAGTAATCAATAATCTTTTACATCGCGTCAATATTATACGTATTTATAGTATATCTCGTATTGTTAAAGACATAACAAGCCAACAGTACAACAATGAACCTCAATCGCATTCTATCCCAGTGATGGCTGCTATATACCTAGTTTAATATCCTATTTTCCAACAAGCTTTGTGTCATTTTATATCTTCTACACCGACTAATGGACGAAATGTTGTGTTAACAATCCACATGTTGAAGCATCTTGATCTAAAAAGCCTTACCTTGTTCGTTCATTAAAGGCGACTGATTTACAGGTGATTACTGAAGGCCATAAACGATTGCGAAATTACTTCCCATAATGCAAACTAAGCGGGTACGGTGAGAAAATCATTCACTTAATATAGCCGAATAGAAAAAAAAATTCAACCTCGAAGGAATTGGACCGTGAAATATTTCTAAAGTTATTAATGATATAGGGGACACAACACCAATTGAAACGACATAAATATTATAAACGTTTAAATAAAATTTCACACGATTAGATGTTGTAGATATATAAGTATATTACCAGCTGTGGAAGAAAATAGCGATCCATTCCATTTTGGAGAATGATAACAGCAAGCAGAGTCACGTTCTCTACTATCTTAAAAAACATTAAAAAAGTTTAGACAGTTTGAATGTAACGAGTTAATATTCAACAAAAATCTTGACATGATATAAAAATACGTTACAGCCTTTAAAATAGACCTTATGAAATATTTAGGATAAATTTGGAAAGAAAACAAAGTATAACCACAGATATAACTCTACTTTTAATTGATCAACTTTCAAAAATCTCACACAGAGCACGAAATGCACATATATAAAAGTCTGCGGAGATCGACACATACGGAAGGAGCCTTGAAGTTCAAGCATTTTGGAGAGATCATCAATACTAACAAACCATAAAATAACATCAACTTATAAAAGAAACTGGCTATGGCAATAGTAATAAGATTTTAATCAGAAATATATTGAGTAGATGTGACTACCACAAGCAGGCAAATCAAGTAATAAAAAATGGAGTTGCATTTAGGAAAAAATGCTGGCGTAATCAGATATTTGTGCTTTAGAGCATTTAAATTTATTTCATTGGTGATATATATTAGTTGAGTGTCCAATGAAAGACTGTAAGAGACATTTTTTGTAAATCATGGACATGTTGAAAATATTTCTTTTTCCATCTTTCTTTTCCGAATTCAAAGTTGAATTTGAAACTCATCTTACCATACTGTCATCTGGCTTCACTTCATACATGTTCTTCATTCCTCTCAGCTTCTTTCCCCAAAAATGTCAATTTTGCGGAACCCACAGTCCAGCTCTCACCTGTCGACAATACACACCCAACGGACTGTTAATAAGAAATAGTTTTCTTACAGTTATAAGGTGAACACTTTTGACTGATTAATCATTAGCTTTGATGTGAGTTCTCGTTTATCCGTTTAATCAACGGTGTCTTAAGTGTACAAATTCAAAATATATAGATGAAGTGGGTTTTTTAGCCATTTGTGTTCCATTTTGTAGCCAGTTGTGTACTGGTCGTTAAAGGTGATCTGTAAATGACCATTTTATTGGTGCAGTCAGTGGTAGACTTGTAAACCGTCGCCTCAAGCGGCCACTGCCAGTCGCTGTTAAACTATAGAAACCACAGGCTCGCAGCAACAGAGGGGCAAGGTGCAAAATATTCTGAAATATGTTCGATGAGTAAGAGACACATTACACAATTATTCTCTACAGAAAGTATCAATCACACCTTTATCAACAGATGGAAATTTTTACACAAATTAACCATCATATTATTGCACTCCCTACCCCTTTCAAGTATGTAGTCGTCAATTGTCAAGTAAGACGTACCCAGGCGAAAGGTAGGCAATGGGTAAGTAAATAAAATCCGCAATAGTATGTGAAATAAGAGACCATTTTTGTCAGGGAAGCCTACAAACTTGCCCAAAGACCGGTTTTCAGATCCAAATTGATTCAAGGAAGGTAATAAAACTCCTGACAAGACATAGATTAACTTTTCAATGGAAACAACAACTGAAACAGTAATATATTCTGTTCATCTAATCGTTTTAGTTCCATAACGTTTCTTGAATTCAACCATGCCATTAATATACAGACCTGGCTAAAAGATAAATTTTTAAAGTCAATGATATCAAAATAATGTCTTACAACTTCTTAACAGAAACTTTAAGATTAATCTTGAAAAAACAGGTAGAAAATATAGTCACTATTTACAAAAAATTGTATTGTACGTATTTTACATTATATCAAATAATAGAAAGATATGATTAAAGATATAAAGCCAATGACTTCACTTCATTGAGATGCTTATCTTATCTTTCAACCTTTGTGATACAGCGTTGGCGAAATCAACATGGCTGCCAATAAATTATTGTAAGTGAATTTAATTTTAAAACATTTAGAATCGATGAGAGAAAATGATACTAACACATGGTTTATTTAAATAAGATTCTGTTGTCATCACAACTTGCCACACTTTGTAAAGGAACTCCAGCCGAACGTACACAGAGTATATGTTACAAATTCTCACAGAACCACCCACAAACGATAGAACGGTATGATGTGTAACTGGCAGTATACGGCAATGTCCTTGACAATACCACTTCATTTATTTTTCATTATAACCATCAAATATGTTTTGTTTTGAGTATCCTCTGTGGTTTTGAACTAATGTTTACCAATCAAAACCAATGTTTATGCTGTGGGTTGAAAATACAAAACCTAGAATTGCTAACAACTATGCAGTAAACTTTGTTTTGAACAGAGCATTTAGATGGTTGAATATTGAATACTTTATTGACCTACTGTCTGTCTACAAATTGTACAGAATAATATTTTAACAATCATTTTTGTATGTTTTGATATAACAACTCTGAAAAAATACCGACAAAATTGTCATTGAGTTGATGAAAATGCCATCCAATGAACAATCCATTTTGGAAATTTGATTTTAACGATGTTAATTTCATTTCAAAATGTTGGTCATTTTTACCAAAATGTCTTGGCGGAAGTGTGTTTATAAACAAAACTGATACCCGACGACAAACGGCATGCATCGGAAAATATTATTTTGAATATTTGTGAAATGACAGAAAACATTTAATTCTGAGCTCATGGTGGTCTGAGAGGATAATAAATGTTGCCTTTCATAAGATCATGGATAGCAAATGAATTTCACCAAAGAAAAGGAATTGAAAAAATGAAACATATAGATCTGTAATTAAATAAGACTAAGTACGACAGAAGTTTGCTCCGAAGCAGGTCGCGACGGAATTACATGGTTATATCTAACATGTTGGTCAAAAATGAGTTTGATAGTAGAAAATGTTGGGATTACAACAGAATTACAAAGTTCCAATTCACCAGTGGACATCTTCTTTAAAATATTAATTCAAAGTACATTTTTCATTGCAGACTTTCAGGGGTTCTATGGTATATGGTGCAACTCTCTCTTCAAGCTGGAACTCCAAATCTCAGTATATGTGATCCACAGGATTTCGCAAACAGAGCTAAAAAACAACAAGGTTAGCTTGGAGAACATATTTTTCACTCTTTACAAATTCCATACTAAGAACATAACCAGACAGCATCCGAAACATTATATATTAAAAAATTTCTATTTGTCCAACTCATGGAAAGAAACTCGTACTTAAGATGAACATGTTAAAGCCTTGTTCTCCATTTCAGCAATATCTCAACCAGTGTTACCCGAAGCGTTCTCAGTTCGTATAGAATGTAATATAGTAAGCAGTAAACAGACAATAGATATGAAACAATATTATGACGGACCTAATGATCGAGGTACAATTGTTATGTATGAAAATGGTACTGTGATACATCTAATCTTTGATTACGCAAACGACGAAATGCTCAGCATTGTTGATGATTTGGGTAAGCCATTATACAAATATTCCAATGTTCAAATGTTCAAAAGAATAAAACTTCAAATGGATTTGATGATCAGTTGATCCAGAAAATTTTATCTATAAATACCCCTTTAGCCATGGCAAATTCAGTTCTCGAAGTTAAATAGTTAGACAAGGTGTCAATATCGATATACACCTCGTGCTATCCTGTGTGGTGATTTGACGGTAAAATATCCGACCCACGTCCCTTGTGAAAAAGATTAGTCACTCTAATGCAACAATACACCCAGGCCAAAAAGCTGCATTAAAGATTTGGAATTTGAAAGAGGATTAACTCATACCACTATTGTTATATACATTGCATGATTTCTGTTTTCAGAACAATAGAATAGAAGTAGAAAATTTTTTGAGACCATATTTGAACATACAAACAATAATTTTTTTCTTAAAAAATTATTTTCAGAAGGACAACCTGACTGTACTGCTTTGCCTCTCTCCAGCAGTCCATTTCAATTTCTTTTTGGTTTGAAGAAATTTCAAAATGGAAGTGAACGAATTTCATCACCACAATCTGCTTTTAAATTTGGAGGAGATATACCGGAAGTGTTCATGGGAAGGGAAGTAATTCGGGGAATTAATTGTGATGTGTGGGAAAGCTGTATATATTGGGATATCGACAACGCAACCATCCATACTCAGTATTATTTCAGCAGTGAGTAGCCTCTTTAAAACCACCGCGATATCATCCCTAGCTTGAATCTGATGTTTATGATATAGCCACTGTCCTGTATAATGTATGAACATATCAAAATTGTGGTTAATACAAGAACATATCTATCAGTTTTCTTGTTAGATATTTTCTTCTTAACACATTGTGTTTTACTGAATACCTTGCAGTAAGAGATTCACGTTCGCTTGGATCACCTGATATATGGGGAATTTATTTAAGAAACTGTGTATCTTTGAGTACCCCTCTTATCTATGGAGGTATAACGATGCAAAAATTTAGTATGTCGAAGCTTGAAGATACCAATGTCGTCAATACAAAATGCATAATGTCAATAATACAAAGTACAATGTATCAATTGTATACTTATCTAAAAAGCAAAGCATCTCATATCAACAATGTGTAATATTTTACAGCTTCAGAATGGATAGACTCTGTGGCAAAACAAGATCCAGTCAGAGCTCACGTGGTCGGAAGTAGTACTAATTCAACAACCACCAGAAAATTCGAACATTATTACGACTTTACGGATTATTTTGAGAAGATTTTGGGAGATCCTACAGATATTTTTGAGGTTTGTTGTTCTTGAATTTCTTATTTATGATGGTTTTTTTCAGTTCAGGATCATACTTCTGTTGAACGGCTTGCACGACCTTTGAATTGTGGGCTTCAGAAAATATGCCTTAACTGTTTAAGATTTTAATATTGTATCTGCACTACTTATTGGTTTCTCTTGTTATTTGACGTTTGTTTCAGACTCCACATATGGCTTATTGTCCTGGTAGAAACTCCAAAAAGTCTTTACCGTCTATACCCGATGCATTCAGTTTTTCATCTGAGATACAGGACCCTAATGCTTTTACACTGAATTATATCAAGGTATGGTCTCCTTCATTCTACTTCTGTAACAAAAAATACATAAACATTATCCTCTGTGTACTCTCAAGAAGAGATGCGTTGGTGAGGACATCGCAGAGTAAGGTCATTGAATTGCAACGTACAAAGCACATAACATGGGTTTAACTCAATTGTTTGTGATAGTCAACTTCAAAGTTTTTCTCCTTTTATGAATCTGTTCTGAGGAGGTAAAAATCTTCGTCTGTTTTTATAACCGCTTTATTTTCAGGAATATTATGATTTTAACATGCATCTGTTCCGCTATGATTTCTATCCAGACGCCAACGGACCATATGGTACCAACAAGTTAACTCGTATACATGATTTCAATACAGGTATAGCTTATAGTCATTATAGTAAATCGTATCAATCGTATACATACATGGTACCTTTGTGTGCATTTCTACCAACTCGTTCTGGGCAGCAGCTCAAAGTATGGCGAGACATTTGGGTTTTGTTTAATCTTGGAGTAATGTCTGTGGTTTAATCATTATGAAGCATTTTGTAGTGTTACGAAAATTTTACCACAGCATTTAGATTACTATTTTCATACGAACTTTAATGAAACGCAGATTTTCCATTTTTTCTTCGGTGAAACAGCTCCCAAATTATACCTAAGGTTAAATTCATGTTGTCTATCAAAGATGCAGACTAATTCTACTCCTTGAAGGCGAAATAAATAGTCTTTAATAAAATATTTCAGAAGTCGTGAATGTTATTTTGAAGAACTTAAGAACTAAATCAGCTCCTTAACTTGTTATTTGGAGGAGCTACTCTTTCAACTAAAAGATGTTCTCACATTATTGTTATAATGCACATGTGATAGATAGCATCAAACAAACAGATTGTTTTATAAGTGTGCCGGTAGAATAATCTAGATTTTTTTATAGGCGTGGCTTATATAATTGATAGTCTTTTGGGTAACTGTACTACAACGACAATAGATGCCTCGGGACTGGATGCCGAGGCCACGATAGGTGGAGGTGTTAGAATTCGAACCAAAGAAGAGTTTTTCGATTTAGATGGTGTTGATCTTCAATATGTTGGACTTGTAAGTATTTCCGTGGTGATGTAACTCCTTCATTTATAGCGGTAGTATTTTCTGTACTGTGAATGATGGTCGTGCATTTTGATTTCCAAGCTGGCCTTAATAGTTTTCTGCTGTCAACATATTTCGTTGATTCTGGAATTGTATAAAAATTCAATATGTTATGTCTTGAGTAAAGAAAAGAACTGTCTCTTCAATCACGTCTGGAAGATGATAATAACTGGACGTTTGTCAAATTTGTTATTTAAATACATTATATGTATCATGGGCTTCGTTTCTCCAATACAATAAAAACATATTTTGATCGTAAGTGTGGTAAATTACATTGAGAAACACCATACTTACGACACAAGTCATGATATGTTCGAGGAACGTCCTGGTCCTATTTTTGTAAATTTGTAAATTTGAAGTGTGTCTAATTTCGATACATGTAGAAAAAGGTTCGTGATATGGATTGTGATGTGTATACAGCTCAGAGAACTGACTGGCCTCCTGGTGCTACCATTGCTTCATCTTGGGAATGGTCTTTTGTATCGGTTTGTATGCGTCTATTTAGTTAAACGTTCAATGATACTAAACGCTTTAAGTTGATGTAAAGAAGTTTTTCTAGACTACCATTATAGCATCACCAATTTTCCTTTTTGTACTGTTATAAAAGATAAGCTGGGTTCTCACTTCATAAAAACTCTCATTACATCAAAAATTTACAGATTGACTGAAAATACAGAGAGCTTACTATTTGTCAGTCGTTCCCAAACTAAACTATCTGCATACACTTTGAAAATGTTCCGATTTCTGATGAAAGGTTTTGCTTGTAACCAAGGACTTCTATTTTTGATAAAGGTTTATTAATTTTTTAACAGTCTGATTGGATGGAGAGTGTTGGTACACAGTATGAGTTTGGCCTGCCAGCTCAATTTAGAATTATGGCTTATGATGTGAGTAGCATATTCTTTATGATGTTTCTATCACAAATACTGCTCATATAACGGTATGTATGTATGGTTGGACGATTAATTTCTTATGTGAGGGATCATTGTCCAGTTTCTAAGACAGAAACAAACAACCATTATTTACAAGGATAACAACTTGGTTTCACTATAGGATTTTTCTACCTGCTGGTTCTTGACCAAAGCTCTTGTCATTGGGTATCTGTACCAATTTGTAGCTGGGGTGAATAGCATAATGGGGAAAGATAACTTATAGCCTATATTGTCGACAGAGATTAGATAATGTAAAGATTCTATCGCACTGATCCACTACATTACGAGATGAATATGAAGTGTAGTAGTCCCCTCCAACACACGCACACCCCTGAAAAGAAATCATGAAACTAGACATATTTATCTACATCGTGCTTATTTTTTTATCTTCAGCAAAATTTTGATAATTTATATAATATTTATGAATATAAAGAAGACAGACCTATGATTTGGTCGTTTGATATTTCACCTTGTTATAGTGTTGATAAACGAAAAGACATACAATTCGCTCTGCCAGGTAAATACTCATGTCATAGTTATAGTTTCTTATGCTCGTCAATTCCACCTTACAAACAGTTTAGCTTAAAGCTAACAGGATGAAGAATGGCCTTGGAGGCAGTCTTGTCCGAGATTGTCCACGTTTATATAGTAGGGAGGATGGCCTGATTAATTTTAGTTCTCACAAGGTTTTAGTTCCAGTTGAACGTTTTGGTGGTCTTAATTAAATCAGAATCAAAAAGGTCATGCCCTTTTATAACGAAAGATTCAACACGTGACCCATCTTTGTTAAGAAAACCTCGAAACGTACAGGATTGAAAGAATCAGATAGAAGTTCACGATGAAAAATCTTCAAATTGAGATGATACCTTATGTTAGGTGTAAAAACAGGGCTAACGCACCGAATTATCTAAAAAGACTGAGACTAAAGTATGATTGGTCAAAACAATGGCGCAACTGTCCCTTTAAAGCATTATTGAAATCCTTTTGATACGCCCACATAAGCCCCTGTCCTCCGTCCGTTCAAAATAATTTTTTTATGAGATCTCGGTCAAATTCGAAATTGGTAATAGGCTAATCGGATGAACGGTTTTTGATTTTGAGATATAGCCCTTGACTCAGGAAAAACGTGTCAAATTTGGCTTTTAGGCACGGTAGAGGCTACAGTTTTTATCCGATCTTGATGAAACTATAGATATGCATGTATATATTGATGAGATCTCAGTCATGTTTGATAATTGGTAACAATCGGATGAACGGTGTTAGAGTTGCTACCCTTGGCTTGCAGGAGCGACATAAACTACAGTTTTTATGGTATGCATGGATATATTGATGAGATCTCGGTCAAGTGCGAAAATTGGATCGAATGAACAAGTTATTGCCCTTGTGTGTACGTCGATGAGACATAGTTCATGTTTGAATTTGATGATAATTTGATGATCTGTTTTTGAGGTTTTGCCTTGGTTTTTATAAGATTTTGTTATAATTTTTAACAGCTGGTATGTTTCCTTGCCTGGCAAGCTATCTTTCTTCATTTTAGGAAAATTCCGTAACATAGTCGAACCTAATGAAAGTTTATTTAAAGAATTTATTTTATTGAGTGTTATTGGTTATGTTGCCATTTCACCAATACGAGTTGCCAATATCGAGGTAAGGTTATATTTTGTTTTGATTTTATTGTATGCCTTGTGTCCCTTGTGACCAGAGATCAATTCAATGCTAATGCTTTTGAAAATATATTTCCCTTACTATAAATTTCTAATTTCTTCCAACCTGTTTTTGTCCATTCTTGTAAACTCGATCTTATGACGAATATAGTTCGTTCAACGTTACATAGTAGGCGCACTTCCAGTCGGATCTACTGCATACCAAAAATGGATGACTTTTGCATAATTCACCAGAAATTTTCTAAATTTATTTTCAGTACTCATATACTAACGATGATGTATTAGTCCAGTTTACTCTACTAGATGTCGCTCCGATGGGTGACGTCACACATGTAAAGGAAGTGACGTTAGATGAGGCAGATCAGTTGTTAGAAGCTTTGATTAATAAAGGGGACTTGATAATCAATATGGATAATGACACATTCAAGGATGTAAGTGGATAATTGTTGAATTACAGTAAACATTAATACGAAACTTATTATTATTGTATTGTACATGAAACGTGAAAAGTTGCTGAAAGTGTGTAATGATTTTCTGCAGAAAAGTAAAAGCTAATTTTGTTTCATTCTGATTTTCTGTATCAAGATTTTGGAATTTAAATGATTGCGCACATCAGATGGTATACGAACTAGGAAGTATGTTATATGTAAACATATGTGCATGTTATTAAAACTACATAATACACTTGTCATGTTAGCATAAAAATTATGTGAGCAATCCTTGAGTGCCTTTTTTCTTGTTTCAGTTGGAAACATTGCGAGCTAAACCATATTCATTAACCTCAAGTGGCGTTTATATACTTGGGGCAAATCCACGTAAGTTTTGTTTTAACAGTTAGTTCTGCTTTGTCATGGTATGACTGATAATGATTTCTGTCATTAACTCTCAAAATGTGTCAGGATATGTTTTATTTTATAAATTTTGTATTTTAAATCCACCCAGACCCCCTCCCCCTTCTTGCCTCATTTTAACTTTGATTGCGCCACGCCCTTGTCTGTATTTAGTTAGATAGTCAAAGAAGTATGAAACTCGCTATACTTCTCTCTGACAATTGTTTATTTTGTCCCTGATGTGATTATTGCTATTGTGTAACATAAATTGTATGGTTTTTATTTTCAGAGAAACCAACTTCCAGTGGTTATAGTTCTGGTAAGTCTTTGTATTATTTAGTGTAAATATTGAGGCCCATTCGAGAAGAATTCCAAATAAACAAAAAAAAATTTCTGAAGCAGTTAAGAGAAAATGAATCAAGTTCTTTGAATTAGATTATTTGAAAAGGTGTCTGAATGTAACTCGAGGACAACCATTTATGTCTTGCATCAAGCATCATTCCGAGGAAATGCACATGAATTCTTTTTAATCAATATTTAAGTAGAAAACTATGATTGATTAATGTTTGTTTTGTTTCAAGGATCAATGGCTGGATTAGGAATTGGCATGCTTATTGTTGCTTTCTTAGTTGGAGCTGGTATCATGTTTCTAGTCAAGAAATTTAAAGCTGGAACTATTCAACTACCATCTGGATTTTCGCCAAAGCGCTTTGATGATACAGAGATGAAAACCGAGGAGGGTGATAAATAATGCCTAACACATTCTTGTATAACCTAAAACTGGTGTCGTTCTTTTCATTTCATTTGGGACCCGTGTGATTTGTACAGTGTAAGGATGAATTATATGTCTATTTCAATTTGTAAAATAGCTTATTCACAAAATAAATGAAACTATTGAATTCATTAACAAACAAGCAAAAATTGTTTGACTTCGCAGCGGTTGTTATTTTTAGTTTTTGTATAATAAATTAACCAATATGTGAATTTTACAGTGCTTACCCAATGCTATCGACATCTCTGTTCTTATCATTCAATTAAGTCGCGGGAGTGTTACTATTTGTGTCTTTACTTTATTATAGTTCTATCCGATTTTTTTGTTATAAATAATGTAGATATCTTACAATAACGACCCAGATATATCGACTTCACAATAGTAATATCAGAATCTTATAATAAACAACTCAAATATGTCAACTTCACAATAGTAATATCAGAATCTTATAATAAACAACTCAAATATGTCGACTTCACAATAGTTTATCAGAATCTTATAATAAACAACTCAAATATGTCAACTTCACAATAGTAATATCAGAATCTTATCATAAACAACTCAAATATGTCGATTTCACAATAGTAATATCAGAATCTTATCATAAACAACTCAAATATGTCGACTTCACAATAGTAATATCAGAATCTTATCATAAACAACTCAAATATGTCGACTTCACAGTAGTAATATCAGAATCTTATAATAAACAACTCAAATATGTCTACTTCACAATAGTAATATCAGAATCTTATAATAAACAACTCAAATATGTCTACTTTACAATAGTAATACCAGAATCTTATAATAAACAACTCAAATATATCGACTTCACAATAGTAATACCAGTATCTTATAATAAACAACTCAAATATGTCTACTTTACAATAGTAATATCAGAATCTTATAATAAACAACTCAAATATGTCGACTTCACAATAGTAATATCAGAATCTTATAATAAACAACTCAAATATGTCGACTTCACAATAGTAATATCAGAATCTTATAATAAACAACTCAAATATGTCTACTTTACAGTAGTAATACCAGAATCTTATAATAAACAACTCAAATATGTCTACTTTACAGTAGTAATACCAGAATCTTATAATAAACAACTCAAATATGTCGACTTCACAGTAGTAATACCAGAATCTTATAATAAACAACCCAA